CCGGTGATGACTTGGCAAAAAATATTTAAATAAAATGAATGAACAATGACTGGTTCTTCCTCTTCCTCAGGGCAGGGAGGAGGGGGAGGCCGAGTGGGGGGCTCCCCTCGCCCGAGGGTCGGCGGTGGCTGCACGCGGCGGAGCTGCGGTGGGGCCGGCCGCGTCCTGGGCCCCCGTCTTCCAGCCCCGCGTCCGGGAGCCGCCCCGCGGAGAGGGGGGTTCCTCGTCCGCCTCCCGCACCCGCTCTCTGCTCTCTACCGAAGCCTGGCCGCCACCGTGGGCGCTGAGGCTCCCACCCACCCGGGCTGCTGCGGACGCAGACGGGGGACTGCCGCCCCCCACGCAGGGCAGCCGGCCGGCGGACGCTGCGGGGCGTCTCCTCACGGCCTGTGCACGGCAGCCGTCGCCCCGGTGCCCCCCCCCCCCACCCCGCGTCACCTCCACGCGGTCCCGCGGCCTCTCTAGCCCTGCACCTCCTCCCCATCACCCCATCCGTTTGCCTTGGTCAGTGGCATTCTCCCGGTCGGCCTGTGCCCGTATCTTCCTGACCTTTACCCCCTCCGCTCCGACACCCCCGTGCCCACCTTCAGGCACCACCCCTCTCGCACCCTCCTAGGTTCGGTCTCTGGCGCAGAGCCCAGCTGCCACCTTCATGCAGACTGCCTGCAAGACTCGCTGTATCACCTCTTACTCTTTCATAAAAGGTCCCCATCCCACTGTAATAGGATACACACGTGCTCTTTGTAAAACATTTAGCATAGCTGGAGTTTCAACTTCACTCAGTAATTCATCCGGGGCTTCCCTGGTGGCGCAGGTGTTGAGAGTCCGCCTGCCGATGCAGGGGACACGGGTTCGTGCCCCAGTCCAGGATGATCTATTTAGGCTGCGCCGGGTCTTAGTTGCAGCATGCAGGCGGAATCCAGTTCCCTCACCAGGAATGGAGCCCGGGCTTCCTGCATTGGGAGCGCGGACTCTTAGCCACTGGACCGCCAGGGAAGTCCGGGGGTCGCTGTGCCTTTGAAGACTCACCAGTGTTTCTGGGCGACGCCCACCCGTTCTACCTGTGTACTGCTCACTGAGGGAGTCGGGCTGCTTCCATCCCCAACAACCCAGACACCTCCAGTCAGGGCTGGCCTCTCCCCTGCAGCAGCACGTTTCCGTGATCCCACATGCTGTTGGAGGCCCCCCACATTCTCCTTTTCCCTCATTTAATGACTTAGGTATTCATGGCCTTTCCTTTTCCGTATGCATTTGGAGGATGGGAAGGTGAAGTCTGCGCTGCCTCAGGCTGTTCCATGCGTGGACAGGGCACGTCCGTCCATTTACTTGCGTCTTCTGTGCCTCGTGTGATAGAACCATCGTTTCTCTGTAGCGTCTCGTTGGTTCCTCAGGTTACTTCCAAGACACCCTGTAGTAGTTCCGCTGCAAACAGCCGCCGCTTTCTGAGGTGTATTTCAGTTGGTTAGTCTGGTTAGGAGAAAAACCGCTGGTCTCCACGTGCTCTCAGAATTGGCAAGTGGCTATGGCAGGTGGCAGAGGTGCCACTGGAGCACAGCGGGTGCGCGGCGGATGCTGGCAGGACGAGCGCACAGGACCCACAGGACAGAGGGCGCAGCTGGAGCTGGCGGCCCTGCACCCCTACCCCATTACGGCAGCCCCTCTGACGCTGTCCTCATCTCAGAGAGGGGCCTGGGTGGGGAGGTGACACCTGGACAGGGGTTCTGACCCTGCAGAGTCTCCAAGCTCCACCCTCCCTGCCGCCTGGGCATGGGTGGACAGCAAGGGCTGCTCCGGTCCTCACCCCCGGCCAGCCCAGACTGGGAGGCTACTCTCCCCAAATCCTGTCTCTGGGGCAGGATGGCATTAGGGGAGCAGCCTGCCCTTTCTCGTGCTGATCCATTGACATGTGGCTTTTGACACATGGAAGGGCTTTGGAAGGTTGAGGGACATTATTACAGTAAAACCTTCATTCTCATCTCTATTTAGGTGACGTTTTATCAGCTCGCATATCAATGAAGACGAAAAATAGGAAGAAAGCCTAACGCTCGAACCATGTCTTATCACTTGGGCGAACCCCAAGTAATGTTCGCCCTTGAAGACGGGAGGCTCAACTGACGCATTTCCAATTCTACTTCCACATTCAGTTACGAAAATTGCAATGTCTGTGCATCGTGTTGATTGAGTACGTACCTAACGATTCTGAGAACACAGAGGAAGTTTTTGTTCCCAGGTCTGGCCTCATGGTCTCACAGATTAGGACAAACGACCCCCTCGATGTACTGCAGGTATTTTGTCTGGGAGCAGCCGAGGGTGCTGGATAGGACAGGCCATGGCACAACACGGCGGAGGGTCATCTCACCCCACGCTTGGACAGCAGGTGGGCTAGGAGCTCTGCCCCACCGGCCCCCTCACTCTGGAGACTGGAGCCGCCGCCCTGGGGCGCCCAGACACCTGGTGGAGGAGGTGGAGCTGGTCCACTCGAGTCTGCGGCACTTCTGCTGGCCCTTCGTTGGCCAGAGCTCTCAGCTGGCCCCGCGGGGCTGGGTGGGGCGGCGGGCCACAGCCCACCGTGTGCCCGGGAGAACAGACCCTCTGTGACGCCATAACTTCCAACCCAGCACATTCTGCACTGGGGTGCAGTTCTGTGGGAAGGAAGAATAACATGACAATTACAGCTTTGAAAGGACAGCTTGCTGGGGTCCTTTTTAAGTGGACGAGGGCGAGCGTCAAATTGCAATGGCATTTTGAATCTGCCGGAGATGCTGAAAAGGCTGCTGGAACTGTTCTACTTTAAAATGGCAACAGTTACAACATGCTGGGCATGAGCAACTTTAAAAAATGAAGAAAAAGCTTGGATAACTTACAAACGAGGGGCAGGACACACAATTTCCAAGTTTCACTTAGGGGATCTCTGTGCAGCCACACCTGCCCACGGTGTTTTTTTTTTTTCGCTGTGTGGGGTCTTCATTGCTGCACGCAGGCTTTCTCTAGTTGCAACGAGCAGGGGCTACTCTTTGTTGCAGTGCGTGGGCTTCTCATTGTGGTGGCTTCTCTTGTTGTGGAGCACGGGCTCTAGGCACGCAGGCTTCAGGAGTCGTGGCACGTGGGCTCAGTAGTTGTGGCTCACGGGCTCTAGAGCACAGGCTCAGTAATTGTGGTACACGTGCTAGTTGCTCCACGGCACGTGGGATCTTCCTGGACCAGGGCTCAAACCCATGTCCCCTGCATTGGCAGGCAGATTCTTAACCACTGCGCCACCAGGCAAGTCCCCTGTGGCGCCTCTTACCTCTGCTTCACAAGGTCTCCATGCTGGTCTAGGTGGCTCGGCCTCCCACAGACTGACCCTTGGAGGGCAGGCACCATGTGCTTCTGCCCACAGGCAGCAGACGTCCCTGCTTGGGCACCGGCCCCCATCCCCATCCAAAGGTCACATGGGGGCTCCTGCCTGTTCTGGCCCAGCCAGGCTGTGCAGTGCCCTCCTGCCCTTGGCACACAGGTGTGCCCCGAGTACTGCCGCCCCAGAGACACCTCTGGGACCCTGCTGAGGTGTCCCCGGCCCGCCCAGCCCCTTACTGCCTGCAGCCCCTGCCGCTCCTGCCCTGGCACGTGGTGGTGACCAAATCCCGCTACTCGCCACGGAGGATGGAGGGTGGGACCCAGCCGCGTGTGCTCAGCCAACACTGGTTCTCCCCCCACCCCCGGAATTTCTAGGTCTCCACTGTCACCCGTTGGTGTCAGAGGCCCGGCCCCCAAGACCCTGCTCTGGAGCGGGTGGCACGGCAAAGCAGGGTGTGCTGGACTGGGACTCGGCCATGGAGAAGACCAAGGGGGGCAGAGCCAGGTGGCAAGTGGGCAGGAGGTGCAGACCGAGGGGGTTCAGTGGGACCGACTTCCACTCAGACTCTGCCAGGTGGGGCTCGAGGCTGCTCAGGGTGACCTGACAACCGTCCTGGCAGCCCATGCAGGCGGTCAAGGCCAGAACCTTCTCATGTCCTGACAAGCTACTGGCTCTGTTTCTGAACCCAGCCATTCCCCCACCAACTGACCCACAGCGGCCATTTGTGGTGTGTCCGCAGTTAGGAGAACCCAACCCCAGGCCCGGGGGCCCCTGTGGGCTCTAGGCTGAGCCACCGGGGCCTCAACTTCCCCACCTGTGAGCCAGGAGACGGCATTTGCAGTGCTCACAGCTGCCGACAAAGGGACAAGGCCCTGAGGAGCAGGGGCGGGGGCAGCCCGTCACGGGGGGTGCTAGGGTCCTGGGGTGGCCTTGGGAACCCTGGTGCGGACACTGTCTGCCCTGTCCCTCCCGCCACACCCTCCACCTCTGCAGCACCCACGGGAAGGTCTCTGTGGCCCTGCCTGTGGCCTCCAAAGGCTCGGATACAGGCCCCGCCCAGCTGCACCAGGATGCAGGGCGGGGAGGATGCTGACCCCCACCCCTGCCCTGCCGGCCCAGCTCTGGGCAAAGAGCCCCGGAGCCCCCAGGCTTCACACAGCTGGCGTGTGAACTGAACGTGGCTCAAGGGCCTGGAGGCCATGTGAAAGCCTGACCGCCAACCCCAATATTGGATGCGGAGGCCACGCAAGTGTCCCACTCAAGCATTTATTTCGGTGACAGCTGCAGAGACTGCCCAGGGGTGGGCACAGGCTGCGTGCGGAGCTGACAGCAGCGAGAGCAGACATCAGACCAGGGGTCTCAGGCCTGTGGCCACGGCTGGAAACTAGGCAGGCCGCAGCCCAGATGGTGTCCCTCGGGGTGTGGAACGTGGCCTCTGGCCACTGCTTCTCAGCAGGGGCTCTGCTGGGCAGAGAGGGGCGGCCGCACACCCGGCCATGGCAGCAGACTTGGAAATGCGGGGTCCAGTGAGCGGGGTCCCCATGACAGCTCAGGCTCACGCTCAGGGACCACCGTGGGGGGGGGGGGCGGCAGCCCCCTCTTCCCAGGGTGGTCTTACGAGGGGCACTGAAGTTTGCTCATTAAGCTGTGAAAGGAAGGAGGCACTGACCCCAAATGTCATCCCAGGGCCGGGTGGAGGGTGGCTGCAGCCCAGGGGCAGGGCCCGCAGGGGCAGGAGACGGCAGTGCTCACTCCTGCAGGGGCTGCAGCTCGGGCGGCAGGTTGCATCCCGTGTACACCCCATTCGTGATGCTGTACTCCAGCAAAGCCCCGAAACACGGATCCTGACGACACACAAAGGGGCGGGGCTCGCACCTGACAGCCATCCCGCTGCCCCCCTGGGCCCCTCTCCCTGAGCCCTGGGCCCCAGCTCACCCTGACAAGAACATGAGGATTTCCCACCACAATCAGCAAGGCTTTGGGTCTGGTGATTGCAACATTAAATCTTTTTGAGTCGGCCAAGAATCCCAAAAAATATCTATCATCTTCAAATATGTCTTCATTTGACCGCACCTAAGAAACCCAGAGATGGATAAAAATAGTGTTTAAAATTTTTCGGTATGCAAAGAAACTCAATATATAAAAAGCATTTAAAAACGTTCAGCGTCAGTATGACTCCATCTGTGGTCACAGAAGAGAAAGGCAATGGGTGAGGAGCAGGCCTCCCGGCGCTCTGCCTACAGCCAAGGGGGCACTCCACACGCCAAGGGGTGACCTCCGGTGCGGGGCTTGAGGCAACGCTGCTTTTCCTCCTACCTGAACTCCCCAACCTGCCAGCAGTTAACACGCACTGTCCATAAAGGGAATTTTAAAGAGAAGAACAGACTTCTGAGAGCCGAGCCAACCTTCCCGGCCCGCAGGCTCCTTGCCAATCCCGCCCCTTCAACATCCCAGCCCTCCTTCTCCAACATTTAACTACTTCTTCCTGGGTTTCTGTACTTCGTTTTTTTTTTAAAAAGAACACCCTACAGTTAACTGCTCAAGGTGATGGTCCAAGGCCCCTCCTGCCCCCGGGAGGCCCCGCACAGCAGCCAGCCTGGCGCAGGCCCCTGGGACAGGGGTACCTACAGTTGAGATGATGATAACCAGATACTCTTGCCCTTGAAACTCCTCCACGGATCCAACCTTTATATCCATCAGATCAACATTTTGCAAAAGAATTCTGATTTTCTCCACCTTCGAAGGAGATGAGATCAAAGATAAAATTTCACAAATCTGACCATTTCTTTACATATTACAGCGTAAGCTGAACGTTAACCACTGAGCCCCATGGCCTTTCAACCCCTGATCTCGGCTCATCAACTCTAAGCCGCTCACAGCACAAATGCCGATCTCAGGTGCGGTGTACGGGGCCGGGGCAGCACCTCCCAGGAGCAGGGCTTTGTGTCAAGAGGCGAGGACTCCCTGTGCTGAGAGTGGGGGTGGGTCCAGAGCGCCTCCTGGGGTTGGCGGGGAGAGAGCGCCGTCCAGAGGATCCCACCCCCGGGGCCTGAGTGGTTATGACAGGAACCAGGCTGTGTGGCCACAACAGGAAAGCCAGGAGGGAGAGGACGGCGGGGGGACGGTCCTGAAGGGGGGGCAGCTGATGAGCTGAGCAAGACTGGGGGTGTGTGAAGGTCTCCAGAGGTGCTAGTAAAGGAGACGCAACTTGAAATTGTGAGAAGGACAAAAGCTCAGCTCCCGCCAGCACAAGGGGCTGGAGGGTGCGGGCCAGAGGCAGCTCCCTCAGCCCAGGGGACGGGCCTTCTCACACGCAGTGACCGCATGCGCGCCGAGGTGAGGTCACCACGTGTCCCCAGCCCCCGTCCTCCCACCCCGTTTGGGGCACAGGCACAGCGGCTGTACAGATGCAGAGAGAGCCGTGTCCAACTTCCTTCCTCAGACCCCACAGACAGGAAGGCGCAGAGGAGCTGGCTGGGGCAGACCCACACCTGCTTCCGGTAAGGCGTGATCACGCCGATGTCGCCAGCGGACACCTGGCTGGAGATGCTTCTGGCCAGCAGGCAGCAGTAGCGCATGACCTGGACGGCCTCGGCAGGGTTGAACCACGATGGGCTTCGCCCCTCTCGAGCTTCCTCGCCCTGAGTTAGCAGGAAGACAAGAGAATGGCACGTCCATCACAAAAACGTCATTTTCTCGATAGGAGCTTTTGAAGGGTCTATGAACTAGGGAGAAGTCAGGGTGGTGACTCAGCAGAGACAGAGGAGCGCTGCTCTCGTGCAGACTTGCGGTCCAGCAGGACAGACGGATGCTCAGCAGTAAGGACTCGTTCTGGATGCACAGATGCCAGGGGAGGAGGGTTGGCTGGGCGCGTCTCTGAACCGGGACCCCACCCCCTGCCAAAATGCCCGTGTGTCCTGGCAAGAGCAGACCTCGTGGCCCGGGGGAGGCGGCCGGCCGGCTGATACCTATGTGGCCACAAGTTTTTAAAAGCAGAATTTACAGGCCCTCGTTCTTGATCAGAACCTAATACACTCAGAAGTAAAATATAGGTCACCCAAACATCCTTAACCACGTGGAAACACACTTCTTTAGAACTCCTGGGTCAAAAGGGAAAATAAAGTCTCAAGCACCTCGACAGACACGAAGACGCGCGTGGAAAGGCAGAGCTGGGGGGCGTGGCCACCCGAGCCCCTGCGAGGAGCACAGGGGCCACGCGCCCGCCTCGTGGGAACTACAACAAGCGAAGGAAAGGTGAGCAAGTCAGCGAGGGGAGGAGCAGAGATAAAGCTGAGACGAATGAAGCAGAAAACAGGTGAGAATAAAGTCCAAAGCTGGTTTTCCAGTTAGACCAAAGGCTGCTGCCTCTCCTGTAACAGGCCAGACGGTCAGAATCTGAGGCTTGGGTGCAGCCACGCTGCCCACTCAGCCCTGCCGTCTGGGCGCAGGTTCCCGGCTCCCGGCCGCACTTCCTTTAGGACAAGACCCCAGTTGCCTTGGGCCCAGCCCCGCTTGGGCACTCCTGGGGCTCAGCTGCCCCCTCGACTGGGCCCCTCTGTGAGATGCCCTGGGCTGGGGACAGAGCAGTGAGGGAGATGGGGGTCTTTCTGGAGCTCTGGGGGAGGGGCTGACGAGGGGAGCATACAGGTGACACCTGGAGGTCTCATTCCAGGGATGGAGTGCCCTGTGGGGGAGCGAGGGCCCTGGCAGTGCTGCAGCCTCGAAACAACGGACGACAATGCCCTTTTGCTCCAACGGTGGGAGTGGACCCCCCTGTTCCCTGCAACCCAGCCCCAGAGGCCTCACCCTCATTTTCTTCTGGGGGCCCAGAATGGAGCCAGTACACAGTCAGGCCCCAAGAAATACCCACTAAATAAGGTAGCCTTTTTGGCCTCCGTTCTTCCCACAGCGAGCACCTCCGTCCCCACAGCTCCATGGCAGGCTGCCCCGTGGGCCTCGAGTCTCCACTTCCTTCTACACAACGTCTTTGCACATTTACTGCTCCCTTCTACACCCAGTTTTTGTCGCGAATGAGCCTATTGTGACCCTTACGTAGTTTGCAGGAAACACGTGGGTTGCTGTGGGCAGAGCTGACCTCTCCTCAAGGCCAGGCCCTCCACTGGGAGCGTGGGTGCTCTCGGGCAGACCTCCCCTTCTTGGCTGACTGCTCTGCTGCCCCCACCGCGTCTGCTTTGCTGCCCCTGAAACCTGGGGAAGCCTTCGAGCAGAGGCTGGGGGAGCGGCATTCCTGGAGAGGCCTCGTGCCAAGCGACCACGCTAGTCTCCCCACAGGGCCCCCTCTTCCTCCAACTCGCCCCCATCCAGAGGATGGGCACCCCAAGCCACACCTGGACACACGAGCCCACCGCTGACACAGCGGGTCAAGCTAAACGTCGAGGGGCCGAGTGCTGTCCCCGGGAAGGCAGGCTGCTGAGAGGACGGGCAGACACCACTCCAGCCCCAATTCTGCAGGAGAGTTTGGCGAGGGAGGGGCTCACGCCAAACCTGACTTCGGCTTCTAACCACCAAACTCCCAGTACAAACTCCCTGGTTTTAGTGAGCGCTACCGGGCGTCTAACATCTCCCTCTGGGGATCCCCCACCCAGTGAGGCCCTGGGGGAGGGCAGGCTCTGTCCCCAGGATTGGTCCTCCCCCTCGACACCATCGAATCACAGGGGGAAGGGGTGGGGCGGTGGCAGGAGCTTCCTCAGGTATGCTCACCTCCCAGCCCCCGATCGACCCTGTCAACTCCCTCAGGATGCCCCCCTTCGATGCCCACCTCGGGCCACCCCCCTCCGGGGCCTTCTGTGCAGCCACCCGAGTGCCGAGGGGCTGGTCCTGCAGGGGCAGAGCCCCTTCCTCACTGGCTTTTCTGCCCCGGGAACAGCAGGGAGCAAGCCCACCACAAGCTCTCAGGAAATGCCGGGTTAATGATGCTGGGTTAACCACCAGATTCCACATGGTAACCAGGAGACGTGTAACCGCAGGTAGCACTGAGGGGTCGCCCTCCTGCCGAGCCCGGCCCACACTCACCCTCACTCCGTGGAAGATGAGGGGGAAGCCCTTCCTGGGTAACTTCTCCCAGCCCAGCAAGGAGGTCACCACCCTGGGGTCTGCGCAGACTTCCAGCTCTTGGTGGTAGAACAGTCTGGATGGCAGGGCCAGCAGAGCTGAGTGGGACCTGTAGTTCTTCACGAGCTTCGTCACCTGCAGGTAGGAAGCAGGGGCAGGTCCAGGGCCAAAGCTAGCACGCGCACCCGACGTGCCTCCAGGGGAAAGGTGCGTGGTCACCTCGAGTCACACCTGGGCGGCCCTGCCTGTGACGCCCGCCCCCGTCACCTCCACTGGACTTGGAAGCGCTCTTGGCACCTCCACCTCGGGCGACTGGGCTCTGACAGAAAAGAACAGGAGAGAAAGTGTCCCTGTGTGGGGCTGCAGGCTGTCTGCAAGCTGCACCCTGATTCCCTGTGTCACGACCCCGGCCGTTAGAGCAGCCCGGGGAGCTGGTCCTGGCTTGGCTGCGGTGGGAGCCGGGCCCTGGGCCCCGAGGCAGGATGGCTACCCACAGCCAGCCCCCCGAGGCGCCGGGGGACGAAGCGCCAAGACGGGGAGCAAGGACAGCTTTGTTTCCTGCCTCCAACTGGCCAGGAAGTTCACCCTAGTCTTTCCTTCTTCCTGGGGTGAGAAGGCCAGAGGCCCAGGACTCTCCTGTTGACAAACTTCAACTCAGTCACCAAGACAGGTCCAGCCTCTGAGACACTAATCTAAACCCCAAACCTGACTCAGCAGCCCGGCTTCTCCCTGGGCCGGGCCGGGCCCCGCGGTACTGGCCTGGACACCTGCCCGCCGCCCCATCCGCCCTGTGCCCACGTGCCCTCCCTGTTCTCCAGGGGGAAAGGGCCCGTGGCTGACAATCTGGAACGTGGAATAGGCCCCAGGCAGTTGCCCTGACCATCTGCCCACGATCACCGTACCTGGCTTGCTGTTCAAAGTCCAGAGGGGAACCTCTCCTTGTCTCTATACTGGGGGAGCCCAGAGGATAATGTTATTGGCTCACCTCAACAGGGGACCCCATGGACACAAAGCTCCCGAGCTCCAGGGTGCTGGGGGCTCCTGCAATGCAGACCCTGAGGCCCATCCCTCTGTGTCATCAGAGGTCGGCTGAGAACCCAGGGACTGGCACATCCACCGGTACCTCGGGAGACCGCAGACACGCTGCCTTCTCTTCCAGGTAAACTTCCAGAGCTCCCTCCCGTTTCCCACAGCGACACAGACTGAAGCTCTCTTACTGAGGGGCTGGCGCTGCCTGCAAGGGCCGGCCCCCCAGGGAGCCCCTCAGCAGGCCCTGGAAGCAGTTCCTGAGTTCCTGGGACCGTGGAGTTGCTGAAAGTGCCTCAGGTGCACTTTGGGGGTGGTGGCAGAAGGAGGGTGGGCTGCTTGGGCCCTGCCCCTGGGTGTGGCTCAGGGGACACAGGGTGGTGAGCTCCCCCGTGGGCCCCTCTGCTCGAGTCCCACCAAGAAGCACGTGGGGTCCAAGCTCACCAACAAGGGGTTGTAGGCACCACAGGCTCCAAAAGCATCTTCGTCTCGCAGATACGCTGGTCGGGACATCAGTCTCTCCAGCATAGAGACGTGCAGCCCATAGGCCGTGGCAAGTCTGGACTTGATGACCGGTCCGAGCTGCATGGGGTCTCCGGCCAGGATGATCTGTGACACGAACGGGACGGCTCTCGGCATCCGTCTCATGAGCGAGTCCCCTGGTGTGTGGCGCGCAGGGGCCAAGGTTGGGGCGACTACAGCGCATGAGCCTCACCTGGCCGCTGACGTCTGAGACCAGCCCCAGGGGGATGAGGCACTCGGGCTCACTCGCCTGGCCCGCTTCGTCCACAAACACGTGCGTGAAGTGTCCGACTCTAAAGAAGGCACGTTCCCGGGGTCACTCTTGTCCATGTGTCCTGCCCAGCAAGGCCTCGCCTCGCTGCCTGGGGCGCCTGCCCCCACCCCCGGGTACCTCCCGACTCTCCGCGAACACACCACCTCCTCCCCGCCTCTGCCCAGGAAGCCCCAAGAGCCCACCTCAACCCTATCTGGTAGAAGAGTCCCGCGCTGCTGCACGTGGTGATGACCACCCTGAAGCGAGAGGCCTTCCAGATGTCTTCCCCATCTCTGCAATACGGCCTGATGGTCTCTGTGGCGCTCTGTGGGGGCAGGCCGTCTGCCAGGTTACTGAGCATTTCTTTACACTGGACAGTCACAAAGCTGACTGGAATTCTGAATGATAAGCTCATCCTGCTGCCACTTCTTAGCTGTGACTCACTATTGATCTAAGGTTGTTCTTTCTATCAAAGCGTCTTGTGTTTTCCTATCAACTTAGTCCATGTTTTACAGACTCCAGAACCACGACTATAACAGTGAATCCCGCAGATCCTTCCCCAAAACCACCACATACATTTTCTAGATTCAATCTCTTTTGTTAACCAAACTGAGAGCGTTTATAGTAAACCAACAGAACCAAAAAGCACCTGTGCCTCTGGGGAAAAATGAGAGAGTAGCTTCAGCATTTAACATAGCTGGGAACGCCCGGAACGTCACTAAACCTTCAGGAAGGAAACAGTCCTCGTGCTCTGCTGTGGTGTTGGGACAAGGTCGGGGGAGGACGCTCACCTCCTTGAACCTGCAGGTGGCGTTCACACGGACCATGGCGCCCAGCCGCAGTGCCTGGCTCTCGTGCAGCCGCAGGCACACAAGGTCGGCCGCGCTGTTGGAGGGTGCGCACACCAGGATCCGACTGTCCGGCAGAGCGTGGAAGACCTTCCCCAGGACACACGGGAGGCAAAAGGGGACGGGTCAGCGGCCAGTGCCAAGCCCACCCATGAGGGCTCCTGACGTGGACTTGCTGCATGGGCCCACGTCACCCCTCATGCGTCTGAGCCTGGCCCTGCCACTGTGTGCAGGTGGTGGAGTCCCCGTCTCCCAGACCCTAAACTTCCCGGGCCTGGGTACCCACAGGCGACCCGAGTCCCCAGCGACGCAGGACACTGAACACAATGTCCACAACTCAATTTAAATCTCAGTGGAGGCGCCAGACACTTGTGCAGTTTCGATTCTGAAGTGGAGCGACTCCTGTCTAAACGTAGGAAATGAGCTCTTAAAGTCCTATAGCCACATAACAAACTTTGTTAAATACGAAACAACTGGGATTTTTCAAACTCTTTCCAACGTTCTGATCTATGGTTTAAACCGATGCTTCCCGATGACAGGAGCACACAGCTCTGTTTACCGCGACCCCGTCCCCACCCACCATTACCTGTAAAACAGCCTCTATGATGGTCACCGTCTTGCCAGTCCCAGGAGGCCCAAAGAGCACATAGGGGATCGGGCGGCAGTCTCCACTCAGAATCCTCCTCACCGCCAACTTCTGGTTTTCGTTCAGCAGGGGGTTGAAAAACTCCTCTCTCGCTTTCGGGGCTCCGCTGACTGCATCCAAAGGGAGAGACAGGGTCGGCGGAGGTCACGGCTGGTCCCCTCACGACCCGTCCCAGCGCCACTTGCTTCGGGATAGTCGGCTGAGAGCAAAAGCATAGGCCACTCCGCCCACTCCCCGCGTCACCTGTGCAGCGTCACCAAGGTGTTAAGAGTGGTTGTTAACGGGTGGACAAGAGCAGCCCACCATCAGGAGGGTCAGAACACATGTCCCCTCGCCTGCCCGAGATCCCCCCCCACCAAGTCCTGCAGGAGCTGGCTTGGTCCCCAGACTCACCCAGCCTGCCTGTCTCTGTGGCGAACGCCCATGGCCCTGGTGTGTCCTGGGCACCCGCTCGCTGCTCCTCTGGGGTGTGCTTAGTTTGGTCCTTCAAGGCTTTCCTATTCTAGAAAAATCATGCAGAAAAATGGCTTAAAAAGAAAGCTTTGGGACTTCCCTGGTGGCACAGTGGTTAAGAATCCGCCTGCCAATGCAGGGGACACAGGTTCAATCCCTGGTCCGGGAAGATCCCACATGCTGCGGAGCAGCTAAGCCCGTGCACCACAACTACTGAGCCTGCACTCTGGAGCCCACGTGCCACAACTACTGAGCCCGCGTGCCCCAACTACTGAAGCCCGTGCACCTAGAGCCCGTGCTCCACAACAAGAGAAGCCACTGCAATGAGAAGCCCGCGCACTGCAAGGAAGAGTAGCCCCCGCTCACTGCAACTAGAGGAAGCCCGTGTGCGGCAACGAAGACCCAGCACAGCCAAAAAAATAAAAAATAAAATAAATAAAGCAATACCTTGGAGGTGGGCTGTCCGTGGTTTTTGATGTCTTGTGCGTGTTTCCAATCCCATGTCACTTGGGGAGACTGTAAAATGATTTCTTCTGGAAACAACACTTTTAGAACAAGAAAAAGCGAGAAGGTAGACATTACTGGAAAGCTTAAGAAAGATGAACAGAGGCAGCTCGTCCTGAAGAAATTCATGTCTGTGTATTCCTCTCCTCTCTGGCCCTGTGCACTGCTTCTCACCTACAGCATAGTGCCAGCACCGCATATTCTTGGCAACAAAGCCATTTACTTGTCTATTTGTAAGTACAAAAATGAGTTACATTTAGGGGGGAAAGCAGAGTGCAATCATTTTATTTTTAATAACTTAAGCATGCTATTTGTACATAGCTGAAATTGTAAGAAAACACTGAACGTCCCCAATAGAAAGGAAAACACTGGGTATCACATAGTTTTACTTCTAATGTATGAATGAAGAGACTGTGGTTTAGACAAAATTTTACGTGACGCTTCTAAAAATACTCTGGGAAGATGTAACACCGTCATCCCACAAAAGTTAATACCTTTTACGCCCAAGTGGACAACTTGTTCAAGTGCGAAGTGACACCGTCTGCTGGTGGTCCTGTGGGAGAGAGTGATGTGGGTCAGCACCCTGGGACCCTTAAGAAACACTCACATGAGACCAGGCTGGAGGAACCAGCAGGAGTTTTACGAGGAAACTCTCAACACCTGTCAGGACAGCAGGGATGCCTTCCTTTCTGGGAATATTCCTGTTTTAATGTATAAAGTGGACAAGTAGAAAAAGGAGGAAATATAGCCTGTGAACTGTCAGAGCTGCATCAACAGGAAAATAACTTTGATGGTAAAGATTCACTCCTGTGAAATTTACTCAGAACAACAGTAAAAAAATAAACTGAAGCATGTTAAAAATGCTAAGTATTGGGGCTTCCCCTGTGGTGCAGTGGTTAAGAATCCGCCTGCCAATGCAGGGGACACGGATTTGAGCCCTGGTCCGGGGAGATCCCACACGCTGCAGAGCAACTAAGCCCGCGAGCCACAACTACTGAGCCTGCGCTCTAGAGCCCGCGAGCCACAACTACTGAAGCCTGCGCGCCTAGAGCCCACGCTCTGCAACAAGAGAAGCCACCGCAATGAGAAGCCCGCGCACTGCAACGAAGAGTAGGCCCCACTCGCCGCAACTAGAGAAAGCCCGCACGCAGCAACAAAGACCCAACGCAGCCAAAAATAAAAAAATTAAATAAATTAAAAAATTATTAGACAAGCAAAACAGCAGGAAAATAAGAAGCATCCTCATGGGAAAAGTTAAAAGAAACAGACCCAGAAATGAACTAGACACTCAATTAGCATACAAGAAGTTGAAAACAGTTGTTATAAATACATTTAAGATTTAAAGATGGACATAATGGTTGAGCAGATGGGGAATCTCTACAGAAAAGACCCAACACAGCCAAAAATAAAATTAAAAAAAAAATTTAAGTTTATTAGAGCAAAAATTGATTCGCATCAGGCAGTAAAGCATCCCGTTAGCAGACAGAAGAGCTCTGAGGAGATGTTCAAAATGAAAGACTTCTACAGGCAGAAGGGAGCAGGGACAAGGAGGGATTTAGGCCAAAAGGCGGGCTGGGGCAAAGGTCACTGTCCTTGAGGGGACGGCAGGGGTCATTCAGGGAGACGACCCCCCAGTGCTAATCAGGGGGTTCCTGGCTGACTGGTTCACAATTCCATTTCTGGGACAGCCAAGACTGCAATTCAGTAAAACCTCAGTTTGGTGACGTGGGGCTTAGTATAAGCGACTCCACTGTGGGCCTGTTCTCCATTTTTTTTTTATTTTTTTGGCTTTGCCGCACGTCAAACGGGATTTTAGTTCCCTGATCAGGGATAGAACCCCTGTGCCCACTACAGTGGAAGCGTGGAGTCTTAACCACTGGACCGCCAGGTAAGTCCCTGTTCTCTTGTATTTTAACACAACAAAAAGAACAAAAAATGGAAAATAAAATTCCACCTTCAATGGAACAAGATGACCAAAGCTCCAAAGCACAAAAGAAGAGAATGCTCAGAAAGGAGCATCTGGCTTCGAACAAGCAAAGGCACGAGAGTTGGTTCAAGCCACCTCAGAACTCCGGCCACAGGTGGATTTACGGATTTCCGGAAAATGCAGGTCACCGTCAGGGCCCGCTCCCACAGCGCAGCGTTCTGTGGGCGTGTGCGGGGCCAGAAGGAACCGGAGCCTCACCTGCAGGTCCCCAGGCTCCTGGCAGCCCCATCACCCCTGGGATACAATAAACTCCACTCAAGAGGAGCAGCAACCAGAAAAGACCCTCCTAGGACTTAGCAAGGCTGTGACTCCAAGAAAGAAAAGACAACTTAAAGCAGATGAATTAAAGAGGAAGAAACCTTCCAGTGGGAAGTCACCATAACAAAGACTCTAAAACGCCCGAGGAAACCAGACTCCCGCCAACTTGCAGCCCAGCACCTTACCCCTAACAGCATGAAAACAGCATGAAAACACGAGCCAAATGTTTCCCAGGAAATCCTTGGAGCACATTACGGGAGGAATTCACCACACAGAACACCACGTTTTTCATCTTGGGCCTATAAGAAAGGTTCGACAGAAAGTTATCCAGTCGAAATATCCATCTCCTGAATAGGCTGAACAAAAAATTATTATCTCAAGAAATGCCAAAAAGGAAATGAATGTAATAGCTCAGAACAGAAACTGACCCTTAAAATTCCTTAACACAATTAATCCAAAGGACAGCAAGACACTAGATGGTAAAATACCAGCAGTATTTACTAAAACAAAAAACAAGACAAAGACACGGAGATGGAAGCCACGAGAGAAAAGTAAAGCAGCTGGGTGGGAGCTAACACAATGACAGACGAGGATTCCAAAGGAGGACAAAGAACAGAAAGAAGACAGGACTTAAAGGAAGCTCTCCTAGACCCCATACGGCAACGATGACAATTCTCCCACCATCACGGTACAAAGACGTAGAATGTTTATTGCTTCACTGTCTGTGATAGGAAGAAGCTTAGAACCTAAAGGTCCAGCAGGGATAATAAAGACCAGAGCAAAACCCAACGGACTGGGAGTACCCTGGTGGCCCAGTGGTTAGGACATGGGCTTTCACTGCCGTAGACCCGGGTTCGATCCCTGGTTGGGGAACTAAGACCCCACCAGCCACGCAGTGCAGCCAAAACCACCCCCCCAAAACCCCGATAGACTAGAGACAGAGACACACGAGAGAATACTGATGAGGCTGGAAGTCCATCCTTCAATGAGATAAGTAAAGCCGACAAAGCTCTAGCCAAACTGACAGGAAAAGAAAGGGCAGACGTGTTGCCAGTCCTGGGAATGAGAGCGGTAACGTCAGCAAAGACTACAAACACTAAACGAACAATAAGGAAACATCATGAGCAATTTCACACAAACACATGAGATAACGCAGATGAAACGCACAAATCCGTAAAGACACACACACTACCAGAGTCCATGTGGCAAGAAACTAAGGTTCTTAATCTCCTAAAGAAACTGAATTTGTAGTCAGGAAGCTTCCCACAGAGAAAACTTCCGACCTAGAAGGTTTTGCTGGTGAATTCTACCAAGCATTTAAGGAAGAACTGATGAAAGTCATATTTTAAGGCAAGACAAGAAAACTTTAAACATAAACTTGTTCTCTGCACTTTGGCCTCCTCCCTCCGACTAGTGTGTATCTGCATCTGCGTTATGTGTTAACCTGACCTCCCCCATGGCAGAAATACCTGCTCAACCAAAGACTGATTTTTCTCCTTCTGGAGCCAGCCATGTAACTCCTTAGAAGATAACATTCCTTTCTCAGTCCTGTGAGGGGTCACGGTGACCCACCACTCACCTTGTACACGTGCAGACATCTTTGGTGGACTTTATGGACAAGGCCAATGTGTCGTTTCCCTTAAAGACAGTGATTGGTGCAGAACAGACAGGTCAGACGACCTGGGGAGACTCTGGGCTGCAGTGAATGGTAGTTCTCAGCTTAAATACTTATGACCTTATTAGCGTTAGCAGCTCTATCACCTGTATTCTTCCTATTCTTCCTAACAACAAGATTACTGCTTCCTGCATTACCAAATGTGTGACTGAGCCCCCGATAAAAATAATGATGACTAGGTGACCTGAAACAATTGACCAAATACACAGTTCCATAAGCTCAATGACTGCAGCAGAGTAACTCTAGATGTGGGAAGAAGCAACCAGAGGGAATCATTTCCTGGACCATAAATGACTAGAGCGACAGGTGGTCCGGAGGCTTTGGGCTACACTGTTAACAGGGCCTAGTCCAGCACACTGAGGGGCCCAGCAATGAAATCCCCATCTGAGCTGGGAATGAGCATTCCTAGCACCATGGGACAAAACGGTCACTAAATGCCTCCCAAACCTTGGTTGAAATTAAGACTGAAAGGGAGGGGACTGTAACATAAAAAATGTTGTCCATCCTCCAGTTCTACAAGAATCAAGTCGTTAACAACTGCACAGTACATCCCAAAAGGAATTCAGGGAAGATAAGGATGAAGCATTTGTGCTCTGGGAAAACTGGCAGAACTGGTCCTCAGATAGTTAGATATTTTCAGGAGAAAATTTTATAAACCCAGTATTCTGCTTCTCCCCATGTTCAGAAAAGCACTAAAACCATTAGCTAAGGCATCTGTTCCGTGTGAACAGCAGGGACCTCCCACCAACCGTGCTTGCTGCACACACCCCTTCAAATCACACCTATACTGGTCTCCGCCCTACCTCTTGGGAACAGTCCTCAGAGCTTCTGAAAGACTGTCGCCCAGGTTACAATCCTCAGGTTAGCTAAAATGAAATTCTTCATTGTTTCTTAGATTGACTACTGATTAATATTTTTGTCAACATAATACCCATTCTACACAAACTGTCCCAGAAAATGGAAGAGGAGGTGACACCTTCCAACTTACTGTGCGGCCAGTGTTACCTCGTACCAAAATCAGAAAAAGATACTTCAAGAAACTAAAGACCAATATTCCTCATGAACATAGACGAAAAAATTACTACAATTTTAGAAAATCAGATCTAACAATATATAAAAGGAAATTACATCATGGCCAAGCGGGGTTTATTCTAAGAATGCAAAGTTGATTTTACAATCAATGTAACTGACTATCTTAATAGACCAAAGCTGAAAACCCACATGATCATCTCAATAGATACAGAAAAAGCATTTGACAAAATCCCATATCCATTTTTGATTAAATAAATCTCAGCAAACTAGGAGTCTATCTCCTTAACCTGACAGGGCCAAATACAAAAACCTGCAGCCCACACAGCACTAGATGGTTCAAGAGTGAGCGCTACTGGCCTAAGATCAGGAACAAGGCAAGGACGCCACTTCCCGCCACTTCCTACTTAACACCATTCTGGAGGCTCTAGCCAGTGCGAGACGAGAAAAAACAAGATGCATCCAGATGAGAAAGGAAGCAGCAAAACCGTCTTTATCTGAATACATGATTTTACTGTATACACAGAAGATCCTATGTAATCTGTAAAAAGCTACTAGAACCATCAAGTGAGTTTAGCAAGCTGGCAGGATACAAGATTAATATACAAACATCAATTGCATTTAAAGAGTCAGGGACAAATTTGACAAAAGATATACAAAACCTGTACAGTGAAAAGTACAAAGCACTGCCTAAAGAAATGAAAAACTGCCTAACTAGATGGAGAGATATACCATTTCCAAGGGTTAGAAAACTCAATATTAAGATGTCAATTCTCCGAATACCACTCAGCCATAAAGAGTGAAGTAATGCCACTTACAGTAACATGGATGGACCCAGAGATTATCGTACTAGGTGAAGTCAGACAGACAATGACAAATATTATTTGATATCACTTATATGTGGAACCTAAAAAGTAATACAAATGAATCTATTTACCAAAAACAGAAACAGACTCACAGACATAGAAAACAAACTTACGGTTACCAAAAGGGAGAGGGGAGAAGGATAAATTAGGAGTTTGGGATTAACAAATACACACTACTATATACATAAAACAGACAGCCAACAAGGACCTACTGTATAGCACAGGGAACTATGTCGAATATCTTCTAATAACCTATAAAGGAAAAGAATCTGAAAAAAATACAAACTATATAACAGAATCACCTTGCTGTACACCTGAAACTAAAACAATATTGTAAATCAGCTATACTTCAATTAAAAAAAAAAAGATGTCAATTCTCCCTTAAGTGGACCTAAAGAGTCAATGTCGTCCTGATCAGAATCTCAAGAGGCTTTTTGTAGAAACCGACAGGCGGATTCTAAAATCCACATGGGAATACCAAAGACCTGGAACAGCTACAACTCTGCAAGAGAGGGACACAGTGGAGGCCGTGCCCTCCCTGATTTCAAGACTTATCACAAAGGCACAGTGACCGAGACTCTGTGGTGTAGGCTGCAAGACTGACAGACGCACCAGTGGAGCAGAATGGACAGCTTAGGGATAGATCCACATGCGTAGGCCAATTGGCTTTCTTTTCTTTTCTTTTTTTTTGGTTTTTATAAACCTTTATTTTAAATGTTATTTTCATATATGTAATTTAATTGGAGTATAATTGCTTTACAATGTTGTGTTAGTTTCTCCTGCAAAACAAAGTGAATCAGCTATATGTACACATATATCCCCTCAACTGGTTTTCAAAAAGGTGAAAAGGTCACTCACTGGACAAAGGACAGTCTGTCTTTTCAACAAATGGTGCTGGGACAACTGGACAGCCCCCGCCAAATCAATCCATACCTTGCATCACTTGTAAAAATTAACTTGGAACAGATCACAGCCCTAAATGTAAAACTTAAAGCTGCAAAATTTCTAGAGAAAAATGCAGGAGAAAATCTTTGTGACCTTGAGTTTGGCAGACTTCTTAAATGCGTCACCAAAAGCATGATCCATGAAAGAAAAACCGATAAACTGAACATCATCAAAATTAAGAATTCCTGCTCTTCAAAAGGCACTACTAAAAATGAAAATACAAGCCACAGTCTGAGAAAATATTTGCAAAAAACATACCTGATAAAGGACTTGTACTGAGAATATGTGAACAACGCTGAAAACTCAACAATAAAGCAAACGATACAGAACGTGAACCACAGACCCGAGCGGGCACCTTCACGAAGGCCGAGTGCCGGCCAGCGAGCGGAGGAGGCGCTCGGCGTCGGTCATCACAGCAAGGTGAGCCCTCACTGCACACCGAGCCTGAGGAGGAACCACCGAGCACCCCAGGGCTGTGCACGTGGGGAGCACGGTGGGAACACGAGCAGTGCAGCCCCTTGAGGAGAGTCTGGCAGTGTCTCAGGAAGCTCAGTGTACACCTGCTGCCGCCTGCAGCCATGGCACTGCCAGGCGCTTACCCAAGAGAAATCAAAATGCCTGTCCACGCGGATGTTTACAGCAGCTTCACTTCTAACAGCCAGATCTGCAAACAGCCCAGCGTCCACCCACAGATGCCTGGATTAGTAACCTCGGGTATGTTCTTATAATGGAGCATTACTCAGTCATAAAAAGGAATGAATTCATGCAAAAGCAAGGCTGAATCCCAAAGTAATTAAGCTGAGTGAAAGATGCCAGGCAAAAAAGAGTAGGTCCTCACGTAAATTCTACAAAATGCAAACTAATGTGTGCTGCTTGGGAGCTGGGGCGCAGAGAAGGAATGACAAGGGCAGCAGGAAACACCTGCGGTGCCAGACCTGCCTGCAGTCTTCACCGTGAAGCTTGTTTCACGGGGTGTACAAATGTCAACACCATCAAGCCGTACACTTTAAACAGGCGTAGATTATTTTACGTTCATTACCTCTCAGTAAACCTACTTTCTTAAAAAGGAAAAATGCCTGCACGTAGCATAAAGGTGCAGCCGTCCGCCCGTCCAGAGGGCCCGGCCTCTTGGCTCTGTCCCTCCTGCTGCACTGCGGTGCCGCCCAGTCCTTCCGTTTGTCAAAATAAGTGGTAAATACAGATTTTTAAAAGTGTGAAATCGCCTGATTTTGAGTAACAATGCAAAACCACCAAAAACTTATGTGGGGCGAGCAAACCCTCTGTGCAGAAGCAGCAGCCACTGGCCCTCGTTCCCGCCTCGCTCCCCACTTGGACGGCTGCAGACAGCATCCCCTCTGAACTCAGATTCCGACATCCTGCCTCGACCTCAACTTCCTGTCTTTCCAACACTCTGGGTCAGGAAACTGCCCAGTGCTCTTCAGCCCCACGGCCCTCTGGCTTCTTCCTGGTCACTTTCTTCCTAGGCTCACACCCCACAGCGCATCCGTCCGCCCACCTGCCCGTGTCCTTCGGTCGGGCGGCTCTTGCACCGACTGCAGCAGTGTTTCCTCTGCCCCCGCCCCCGCCCCAGGTCCACATCCTCTTCTTTCTCTGCGAACATCCTCACCTCACGTCCTAGAGCGACAAGGAGCCCTTACAAATTCCCACTCACCATCGGCTCCCATCTCATGTGTGCCCAGCACAATGGAGGATGTGTGCCTCTGCCAAAGACCACGGCCTTGGCCCGGGTCCGGAGCCCGCGACCCCACGCGTCACTCCTGCTGCCTGGTCGCCACACCCACCTCACTGGCTTCACACGAGCGGTGCTGGCTCCTCTCACTGTAAGCAGCAAACCAGGCAAGGCCGCCCGGACCCTGGGCGCCTCCTCCTCACTCATCTCTCTGTCCTGGCTTCTCTGCTTTCCCAGCCAAACACCCTTCAAAAGGGCCAACTCCACGCTTGCACCATCCATTCACCTGCAACACCTTCCAACCTGGCTGCAGCCCAAACACTGAACGAGTTCTTAAACAAAACACGAAAAGCACTGGTATACAAAAACCCTGATAAATTCCACTATCTTAAAACTACCACCTTCTGTTACTCAAAAGATATTTTAAGAAAGTGAAAAGACAAGTAACAAACCCAGAGAAGTTGTCTGTAACAGGTGTATCTAAGAATAGTCTAGCATAAAGGATACAGAAAGGACAGCTACAAATAATTTAAAAAATCAAATTATAGTCAATAAAAGACACGAGGAAGCATTTCACAGATGAAGGAATTTTACAGCCAATAAACAGGGGGACTCTTGACCTTAGAAGTAGTCAGAGAAACATACATCAAGACCATAGCGAGACACAGCTCACGCCTACCAGGCAGGCACACGCCGAGGGTTTCACAAAATCAGGTTTCGGGAGGGCATTACAGACCCTGAGCTGCTGGGGCACTTCTGCCACCACGTGTACAGCTGGAACATTAGCGTCCCCCAAACCCCGAGCCCACCCCGAAGTGCGCAGCCGAGAAAACCTGGGGGTGGGTGTGCACGAGGAGACAGCGGGCGTCCACAGCAGCCGCCAGAGCGCGGGCAGTGCTGTACCCACTGGCAGGAGGGCAGACGCGCCCGGTGGGGCACAAGGAGGCTGCGGACATAGCCCGCAGACCTTGTGTCAGCAAACCCACAGCTCCAGACCACAGGCGGCAAGTGCAAAACAGCTGCAACTAACGCAAACACTTGCCCGTGTGTGTGTCTGTGCGCAAACACACCAACTTCTGTTTTAAAAAGTAAAGGAGAGAGAAACACAAAATCCCAGCTAATGGTGGGGGCTTGGTGGAGGAGGGGGAGAGACAGCTGGTGGTGGTGTCCCCGCCTCGTGACACGTGACAAGTGAGGTGGAGGAGGAGCGGCTGGTGGTGACGGCACATGAGGGACCACGGATTCTCACTTAAGATCCAAAAAGGAACCGACATGCAAACGCTTACCAAACGGCTGGTGACAAAGCTGTGACCACAGAGGCATGTGACACGGGTGCAGGGAGCCCGCTCACAACCCACGAGCACGCATGCCGCCCCCTAGGTAGCAAGAGACCGAGGAAGGTGAGACAGCCGCCCACCCAGAAGGAAGAGTCCCTGGAAGCGTTACCTGTTGTATGTAAATTCCACATCCATAGGTTCAGAGTTATATGCTTGTTCAAACTCTGGATTAAGTTTAAGGGTTACATCTTCTTCATGAATCTAAAAATAAACAAATCATTGACTTTTTATACTATGTACTTGATTCCTTGGGACAATCTCCTATTCATATTCAGCAACTCATCATGAAGCATTCATCCTGCAGATCTGAGCTGAAATCTGGCATCTGAAATGAGTACAAGATGATGGGAAGGGACTCAGTCACCACGCTATTCTGCCCCCACCCCCAGCAGCACACCTGCCGACGCTTCCACCGGGCGTGTGGGCTCGTGAACACAGGGTGTGCAAGACAGGCCGCCACCTCTGAAGGAGACACATGATCGACCGCAAAGAGCAGGGGGTGCCGGCCATGAGACCCCCTCCCCCATCAGGACAGGGAAGCAGACATTCAGGGACCCTCCAGCCAAAGCTAGGTCCTGCATAAGAATCCTCAGAGGAGCAGGAAGGAAACCCCACGCTGAGAGGAGCTGAAACAGGACGGGAACACTAGGCAGCGGGGCCTCCCAAGAGCTGGGGGCCAGCAAGGGCAGAGGCTGCGACGTGAGGCTCACAGTACCCCCTGCTCTCGGCAGAAGCAAACACAAGCCCCTTAAGAGGAAAGCAAGCCCAGCACAGGGTCCTGGGTTTCCCAGAGATTAAGACAAATGAAAATGAATCTGTAATCACAGACCATCAGGCACACAAGGAAACCACCAGCAGTGAGGACTGACTTGAATTGCTATCAACAGATTGAGGCCCCAAGGACATCATCTACTGATGCTATCATTTACAGAAATTTGAAAAACTATGCAAAAAAAAAAACAAACTGGGAAAACCAAGATAAGCAATCATAAGATAACATAAAACCACACAACAGGACAGCTTTCATGAGTCAAATAGCATTTAGAAACAACAACTCTGCTTATGGAGCTAAACTCGGAGAGAAGGGAACAAGCGACCTGTTTGCTCCCAGCAGACAGGGAGGCCCTCTACAGAGGTGCGCACGGGCCAGGGGCAGTGCTGGCTCAGCCCAAGGAGCCTTCCATCCCCCCGCCCCCCCGCCGCCGCTCCCCGAAGCACCACGCTCTGCCCGCCCCACCATCCGGGGGCGCTCCTGAGGGCCCCGGTGCCTTCATGGCACCCAGGCCACTGCGCTGGCCATGGGGTTCCGGAGAATCACGGAAAGCAACAGCCAAGACCCGAGACAGGACAGCTTTAGCGGGCACCCATCACTCAGGAGCGGCCAGCTTCACGGACGGTCCCGCGGGAAGGTCGGCAGGGCAGCTTCAGCTCTGGACTCGCCAGCCTGGGAGTCAGGGGCCAAGGGGGCCTCACCCCTGAGATCCCTGGTCCTGCTTCTTCTGAGGTTTTAGTCCACAGGGCAGTCCTAAGGGCACAACTGGTCTACTCTCTGGAAGCTGAGATGGTCACTTGGCCGTTCTGGGCTCCTCACGCCCTTGCCAACAGCTAGGGGGTCTCACGCTGGGGAGGGTGATGGGCCCTCTAGCTGAGGCTGAGTGGCTCCTGCCCTGCAGTGGAGGGGGCACCCGGCCAGGCCACCTGTCATCAAGGAGAGTGAGCTCCTGCCCCAGGAAATCCTGGCTCTGCTTTCACAGGCGACAAGGGCTGCAGCTGTGGCCATCTTTCTACAAACGCCCTGAAAACCCCCTAACCACCCCGCCCCGTGCTCTCCCTCCCTTCCCAGACGTGGGCCCTTGTGGCCATGGTCACGGGCCCTGAGCACGCCCCGAGGAGCACAGGGACAGGCATGTCCCGAGACGGGGCCTTGGCCCTGTGCGGGGAGTGCTGAGTGAGGGACGTGGGACCGCCCCCTCGGGGGGTGAGGGCCTTGTCTGCAGAGCTGGGTCAGTGCAGGACGTCAGGCAGGAGCAAGATGCTTCTGAAGGGAGAGAGTGACGTGGATGCCTGTGCAGGCAGGGAGGCTTCCGGTGCCCAGGACACACGTCCTCCAGGGCGGGGACTTATTCTGGGTAAACCACAACACGCGAGGCCTAAGAGGCTCGCCCGACCTTCAGGCCTGGTCCAGCGGCCTGGGGCGTGGGGACAGCGCATCCCGTCTCGAGGGTGGTGGGAGCATCCGCGTCCAAGCTTCTCTGACTTGGTGGGAGCGACACTACCATGAGGCCAGGCGGGGGCACACTTCTGCCACGGACCAGCCTGCACCCCGACCTTACTCTCCAGCACAGCTCGCCCACCTGAGAGGCCCAGTCGACTCAAAACACCACCTCTTCTGCTTCTATCGGCCCCAGCGGGCTCGTGTGATGCTGCGGTCCTGGCTGGCGCCCCGGCAGCCCGTACGGCGAGGTCTGCGGAGTCCGAGTCCCCAGCCTGGAACGGCGGCCCCTGCGATGTGCTCACGGCCTCTTCTCTTGCCTTTCCCAGCCTGCAGCGGCTGTCCCTGTGATGTGCTCACAGCTTCTCGCCTTTGGAGACGCCTTCTGGGCCCTTTCCACTAACAACATCCTTGCTGTCTTTTACGGTGATCAGATGCCACTTCCTCATCTTCTCGAGGAGAGGAACGAGTCTCCACACTGGATTATTCATGCCCGTCTTCCCCTTGTCCCTGGGGGCACATCGCCTGCTGCCCCAGCGAGGGCCCGGCCCCACCCTCGGGGGAGGCTCTGCTGGTCCTCGTACCCCCCAACCCCAGCTCGGGGCTTCGGTGCCCCAGTTCCCACATCAGGCAGCGTGCGGGCTCCGTGGGTCCCTCCACGCGGCCCCCGAGCTCCGTCCCTGCGCTGTGCCCAGCAGGGAGCAGGGAGAGTAGCTGGAGAAGCCCTGGCCGCGCTCAGAGCCGCATGGGCACGGGGCCTTAGACCAACACAACCTTCCCCGTGGAGACACCAGAGTGTTCAATGTGTAGGTGTGTTTTTCCTTCGCAGGCTCTCTCTCCTAGAACATATTCAGAACGCCGAATCTGACTAAATGCACGCCTTACATGTGATGTACTTAACAGGTAAGTGTGTTTTACACGGCTGAAAGTGATAAGATTTCTTTACACATCACATTTATTTAAATGTTCATTTGATCCTCAAATTTTCCAAAATACCATCAACACCAGGGGACCCCCCATCCCGAGCTGAGGCAGGAAGTTTACCTCTGCAACCGTCCGCTGGGCTAGTCCAACATGAACTAACAGTGGCCTCTCACCTCAGTCACATAGCCGATGTACTCGATGACGTGTCCGCTGTACTCTTGAGTTTTTAAAATCAGTTTATCACCTAGTTAAAAAACATTACCACACGTAAAACTACAAAATCAGTAAGTTTTTTTTTGCTGTACTGTAAAATCAAACACTCTGAAGTGGTGGAGTAAGACAAAAACATTACTGGGATCAACAGCTTAAAATCACATCAGTGTGAAGAGAGAGAGGCTGGCCAAGTTCTGAGTGAAATTATAACCCAAAGCAAAGAAAATCAGCGTGACTACTGCGTTGCCAGTTAAAAACATTCTTTTTCCTGACTGTGGTTCAATGTTTCTAGTCCATCTAGGAAAACATGACACGTAACAAACCTACCTGTGTAAAGAGAAGGTCTACTTTCAGCTAATCCTGGGACCTCCAGAACCAGCAAGTCCCCGTTTCTTTTCAAGGTGACCCCACTCATACTATACTCTTTCAGTTCTATTTCTGCATGAATCTCCTCAAGCCAGAGCAAAGTTGAAAACTTCTCCTTGTGATTTGACACATTCAAAAGCTGAAAAAGAAGCCAGCAAGATAGTGAGCGCTGAGGACCACTCCACACACACCCACATCAGGAAGCCAGCAGCTCTGGGGTGCGTAAGTCCCACGGACAGACGAAACAGCCTTCAAACACTGACGACTGGGCAGCTCAGGGCAGTGGCCCTGAGATGGGGAACCATCTGAGTGAAGCCCCAACCGCCCAGCTCCTATCAGACAGAGCCTCCAAGCTCTGCTCAGAGCGAGCCCGGGGCAGCCATGTGAGCCCTCCGCTGCGCAGAGGTCAGCATACGAGCGTGAGAAACCACATCGGATGGGGAGATGCACGTGATGGGAGCAGAACGGGGCTCCTCAGCCTCGGCACTTCCGACACCGGGGTGGACCGGTCTCTAGGGCAGGGCTGTCCCGGGCACTGCACAGTGTTTAGCAGCATCTCTGGCCTCCATCCACTAGATGCTGTTCACACTCTCAGTCATGACAACCAAAAATGTCTCCTGGGGGGAAGTTCACCTGTTGAGAACCACGGGGTTAGAGGTAACAAATCCCAGAACTCACACAGGGCTGAGAATGCTGTGGGTCCCACCAGCCCAAATGGAAAGGCTTCAGGTAAAGGGGCACTGGGTAGAGTACTCAGAAGGAATCAGCCCTATATTAGAAACAACTCTGGTCCCTCCTAACAAGGCTTCTTTTTTTGCGGTACGCGGGCCTCTCACTGCTGTGGCCTCTCCCGTTGCGGAGCACAGGCTCCGGACGCGCAGGCCCAGCAGCCACGGCCCACGGGTCCAGCCGGCCCGCGGCACTCGGGACCCTCCCGGATGGGGGCACAAACCCACGTCCCCTGCATCGGCAGGTGGACCCCCAACCACTGCGCCACCAGGGAAGCCCCTAACAAGGCTTTAAAGCCAGGCTTAAAAGTTTCTGGCCATTTCCAAGTAACTTAAGTGCATCCCAGAACAAAGTTCAAAAATATTTTCAAGAACGGAAAAATATGAAATACCCAACAAGGTAAAATCCAGAATGTTTAGTGTCCAAACAAAGATGGCCAGGCACGGAACTAAGCACAAGCTACAACCCATAATGAGGAGGAAAACCTATCAACAGAGACAGAACCAAAAATGACACCTGTGATGTAACCAGTATCACAAGAACATTAAAACACTTGTTGTAACTGTACTACATACATTCAAAAAGTTGAGGAAAAAAAAAACTGAAGAAAACAAAGGTGAGGAAAGACTAAGCATATTAAGTACAGACAGAAAATATAAAAAAAGAGCCTAATCGAACTTGTGGAGATAATATCAACAATGTCTGATGATATCAACAATGTCTGACATAAAAAAATACTGGGGCTTCCCTGGTGGCACAGTGGTTGAGGGTCCGCCTGCCGATGCAGGGGACACGGGTTCGTGCCCCGGTCTGGGAGGATCCCACGTGCCGTGGAGCGGCTGGGCCCGTGAGCCATGGCCGCTGAGCCTGCGCGTCCGGAGCCTGTGCTCCGCAACGGGAGAGGCCACAACAGTGAGAGGCCCGCGTACCGCAAAAAACAAAACAAAACAAAACAAAACACTGGATGGGACTGCACACTGCAAAAGAAAAAATCAGTGAACTCGAAGACACAGCAACAGAAACTACTCAGAATGAAACACAGAGGAAAAAAGACCGAAGAGAAATGAACGGAGCAGCCGTGAGCTGTGGGGCAACTTCACGTGGCCTCATACACATGTAATGGGAACGTGGAGAGTGGGGCAGAAAGAATACTTGAAGACGGAATGGCCAAGAACTTTGAAATTTGAGAAAAACCGTAAATTCACTTTCTCCAGTAAGCTCAAAAAACCCAAGCCAAGGAACGTGAAGAAAACTACAGCAACTCACACTGTAAATTAAATTCCTTAAAACTAGTGAAAAAGAGAAACTCCTAAGAGGAGCTAGAAAAAAACACAGACTCCGTGCAAAAGAACCAAGGTGAGAAGGAAAGCAGAGTCCCTGGAGAAACGCCAGGAGGGAGGAGGTGCTGGGCAGCGTCTCTGCAGCGCCTGCCCAGAGGTCAAGACCGGGCGAGACCCGCGAGGCTGACAGACCAACCACTGCAGGGGATGCTCAGGTCCCCCAGAAGGATGGGAGGAGCCCCAGGAAGGGGACCTGCGTCGGGAGGCGGTTACAAGGGCACAGGAAGTCAGGAAGTACTGGGGTGACACATGCGTGAATTAAAGAATCACAAAGGGGCAAGTACTCTGGAACCTTAGACCATACAGCACTTTTTCATGACCATTACTATCATACTATCATGAATGCTGAAGACACCCGTAACTGCTACGCTCACGAGGAGATCCCTTCCCGGCGCCCAGGCTGCGTTACAGGAGAGGTGCAGGCGTGCTTCCGGCACACGATGGTCCCGGAAGCTGTATTTGCATCGGCATCAATTTCTCAGCCCCAAAGTTCTTCTCGAAGGTGTTTTAGGGCTGGTTTGCTGCTCCGGCCTCAGTTCAGGCCCTGCAACCATCACTGCAACAACTGCCTGGCGGATCTCCCCGCTTCCAACCCACAGTCCTGCCCACATACCCTCCTTGGTGCTGCTCCATCTGTGTGGTCGTGCCGTCCCTGGACAGTGCCCAGTGCCCCTGCGGCACCCTCCCCGCTGCAGGACGCCCGTGTGACCCTGGGGTGGGGCACCTCGGGCCGGTGGCACAGGCAGCATCGCAGCACCAGCACCGGGGGCAGCTTCTGGCCCAGCCCTGCCGCGGGCCCAAGGCCCAGCAGACAGACGACTCTGTCCATCAGTCCCAGGGCAGGCATGCTCCTCGGTGCCTTCAGCTTCCTCCCAAGCCTCCTTTCCTCTCCGCCTGCCACCCCAGCTCTCCCAGATCAGGGCTCCCTCACCCTCCACGAATCTCTGGCGAGTCCCAAGTTTCCCTGCAGCCACCATCCAGTCTCCTCCCTCCTTCTTGCCCTGATGCAGCACAGGCCCTGGCCCTCATTCCACTCACCCACTCCTCAGGCAGCAGACACCCAAACCATCGGGAAAGTGCCCTCCTGGAAAGGGGCCGCGCTCCGCCATCGCTGCCAGCGGAACAGACACTCTCCCTCCCTCCCTGGACCCCTGCCTCAGCCTTGCTCAGCGCGGCCCCTGCCCTTGGCCTCCTCTGGCAGGTCCACCCCTTCTCACAGCTCTGACCACCACCTGCCACAGCAGGCTCAGACCAGGCCTCCCCCAGCGGATCTGAAACAGCCCCGCCAGGGAGGGTGACAAGGAGACGACCTGCCAGAGGAGCCCTACGGGAGGCCTGGCCTCCTCCTCCCCCACCCCCCACTGGTCTGTGTGGCTACAGGCCTTTTCCCGGTTCCCCTGCTTAGCTGCTCAGAGCTCTGTCACAAATGGAAAGCTGCTGGGAGGCTCGGCCACAGGGTAGAAGAGAGGCCGGGATGGGGGGGGCAGGGGGTCCCCCCACCCCCGCTTTGCCCCCAGCCCCCAAAGCCCCGACAATCTGCAAAGGGACACAGTGATGGGCCCCGCCGCTCCCGGGGTGAACACAGCCCACACCAGGGCTGAACCCAACAAAGGTTCACCCTGAGTTTGTTCAGAAAACAACTCGAGTGTGGTGAAGAATCAGTACTTCACGTGAGACACTTTTCCTACCTCTGCGAGTAGCGGCTGAAAGGTCAGGATGTCGATTTTCTGCCCCACGCATTCTTTAAGCCTGTCTGGTATCGGGTACTGCGGGAGAAAACTCGGAAGCTGTCGTCTCAGGTTCCTTAAAAGGAGATTCGCAAGTTAGAAACAACGCTTCAGCACCAGGCACTTCACCCCGGACGTCTCCACTTAAACATCCTTTCCTATTTCAGAAAGAGGTTCAATCACCAAAAGCAACTGGTACGTGAACTGCTGGCCTCAGGCAGTGCTTTGCAAAGCGCTGTTTAGCTTTGGGGCCGCTCTCCCGGGAGCTGCTTTGCCTCCAGCAGAAGAACATGCCAAACTCCCAAAAGCCCCTGGGACCAGTGAGCTTGAAAACACTGTTTCTAAGCTTCCAATAAGCTCAACTCTTATGCTTTATTTTTTCCTTCCAGTTTCACGGACATGTAATTGACGACAGCACTGTAGACATTTAAGGTGCGCAGCAGAATGATCTGACCTACATGCATCATGAAATAATGACCACGGTAAGTGTAGTGACCACCCACCTTCTCATGTGGATACAAAACTAAAGAAAGAGAAAAATATCTCCTTGTGACGGGAACTCCCAGGATCACTCTCTTGACACCTTCCACATATAACATACTGCCATGTTCATTACATGTGTCACGCTGTACGTTACATCCCTAGTACTTATTCATCTTATAGCTGGAGGCTTGTACCTTCTGACCCCCTTCATCCAATTCCCCCCGCCAAACCCCACCTCCGGTGACCACAGATCTCATCTCTTTTTCTGTAAGTTTGTTTTTGAAGTATAATCGATCTACAACACTGTTATTCCTTATTACACAACACAGTGATTTGATATATCTGTACATTTCAAAATGATCATCACAGTAAGTATAGTTACGATATGTTACCACGCAAATATATTACATTGTTATTGACTATATTCTCCACAATGTGCATAGCTATCTATTCCTCCATCTATCCATCATCATCTATTCATCCATCCATTCATCCATCTATGGTTATTTAAGTTGCTGGTCTCTTAAGTTCAAATGCATTTTCAACAACCCTGCATTTTTACTCTCCTCCCATCATGATTATTTTTTTTTTTTAAATTATTTTTTATTTTTGGCTGTGTTGGGTCTTTGTTGCTACATGTGGGCTTTCTCCAGTTGCGGAAAGCAGGGGCTACTCTTTGTTGTGGTGCACAAGCTTCTCATTACGGTGGCTTCTCTTGTTGCGGAGCATGGGCTCTAGGTGCGCGGGCTTCAGTAGATGTGGCTCACAGGCTCTAGGGCACAGGCTCAGTAGTTGTGGCGCATGGGCTTAGTTGCTCCACGGCTGTGGGATCTTCCTGTAGCAGGGCTCGAACCCGTGTCCTCTGCATTGGCAGGTGGATTCTTAACCACTGTGCCACCAGGGAAGCCCCATGATTATTATTGCTTTTGACATCATATTTGACATCTTTTTGTTCTGTGTATTCCTTAACTCCTTATCACGGATATATATGATTTACTACTTTTGTCTTTCAACCTTATTACTAGCCTTATACGAGGCTGGCTTTACTACCTTTACTGTGTATTTCCCTTTTCCTATAAGCTTTTTCTTCCATAATTTTTATGTATGTAGTTGTGGTCTTTTCTTTTTGGCTAAAAGAAGTCCCTTTATCATTTCTGGTAAAGCTGGTTTGGTGACTCTGAATTCTTTTAGCTTTTGCTTGTCTGTAAAGCTTTTAATTTCTCCATCAAATGTGAATGAGAGACTTGCTGGGTAGAATATTCTTGGGTGTAGGGTTTTCCCTTTCATCACTTTAAATATATCATGCTACTCCCTTCTAGCCTGCAGAGTTTCTGCTGAAAAGTCAGCGAATTGTCTTATAGGAATTCCCTTGTACCTAATGTGCTGCTTTTAATATTCTCTATCTTTAATTTTTGCCTTTTTAATTACAATGGGTCTTAGCATGGTCTTCTTTGGGTTGATCCTGTTTGGGACTCTCTGCGTCCTGGACTTGGATGTGTTTCCTTTCCCAGGTTAGGGAAGTTTTCAGCTGTTATGTCTTCATGTATGTTCTCTGCCCCTTTCCCTCTCTCTTCTCCTCTGGGACCCATTTGATGGTGTCCCAGTGCTCTCTCTTTTTTTTCTAAATATAGATTACTTGCATTTTCTTTTTTTTATACATTTATTTTTTATTTATTTACTTTTGGCTGCGTTGTGTCTTTGTTGCGGTGCGCAGGCTTCTCATTGCAGTGGCTCCTCTTGCTGCGCAGCATGGGCTCCAGGCACGCAGGCTTCAGTAGCTGTGGCTTGCGGGCTCTAGAGTGCAGGCTCAGTAGTTGTGGCGCACGGGCTTAGCTGCTCCGCGGCGTGTGGGATCTTCCCGGACCAGGGATCGAACCAATGTCCCTGCATTGGCAGGCGGATTCTTAACCACTGCGCCACCAGGGAAGTCCCGAGTGTTCGCTTTAGGGACACTCCTGTACAGTGACAATGTATTAATATTCAATGGGGAAAAACTTACCAGAGGATTAAATACTTGTGCTGTTGCTCTACTTCACTCCTCTAGTTAAGCCAAACTGTAATGGGAAAGCTGCTTGGTGCACCACTAAACGACAGCCAGAGGTTCTTAAAAGCTCCTGTAACTGGAGTCCAGCCATGTGGACCTGCCGCCCGCAGGCCACATGACTTCTTGCTCCTGTGTTCAGGTTCCATCCCTAGAGCCACTCAACTACTGTTTACACGCCCAGTACTGTTCTTACTTACTGATTGCTGTTGACTGCTCAGTGCCAGAAATGGCACGTGTGGGGCAGGGGGGGACTAGCACTTTACAAATGAAACTAAGCCTCAGAGAGGTTGAGAAACTGGCCTGAGATGGCACAGCTTCCGGGTGGCAGTGCTGGGATTCAAACAATGGTCTAACCCCAAAGGTCAATGAGCACACAATACTTGAACAGATTCCCCTCCAGCCCACGCATTAGTGGAAGCCCACAGTACCTTATCTTCAACTGTTCCCAGGTCAGATGTGATCTGGGATTCAGGACTTCCCACCACAGAAAAACCGCATGTACCATCCCACTGAGTTCTGGGCAGCAGATGAGGGGGCGCGTCCACACGACTAAGTCGTGGAACGTCCTCCAGCCTATAGGTCATGATTTTTTGGCACCTAACTTAAAAAAGCAAAATCTGCTTTTCAGAGCTTTTGGGATTTATAACTGCAGACGAGAAAGCGTGGATGCGCGGCACTTTCTCCAGACGACACCCCAGATACGGTCAGGTTGTCCCCAAGCCCCCAGCCACGCGTCACTAGCAGATTACATGCTTTTTCTTAATTTCATTTTTCAAAGGTGTCACATCTTCAAATGGGCTTCAAACAGCCAAGCAACCCTCCTGCCCTCGACAAGCGACACTCGGGTGCTGTGAATGGCCCTCGAAAGCCATGCCAACCACGTCTCACTGACCCCTCGCTGCTTGGTGCCCTGGGTGCCCATGTGGGACACGGGCTGTCTCGGGAGGTGGGCGGGCTGGGCTGACGGGAACATGAAAGGTGGCAGGAGCCGAGGGCAAGGGTCAAATCACAGCGTGCACTGCGAGTCACCTTGAGACTAGCTGGGGTGCTGCAGACACCCCCACCCCCCGCCGTCCTCACAGCGTGTCCCCAGGACAATGGAGGGCGCTGGGCCTCAGCTGCATCCCTTTATCCAGGACGTCCACCTCCCTCCAACAACAGCAGCTACGTGCATCCCTCACACCGTGAGCCCAAGATCTGGGCTTGCATTGTCGTCCGCTCATGGTACCTTTTCTGCATGGTCATGACAACTGTAGTTTTGGTGGAAGCTAACACTTGGGAACTTTTAGACTTCTTCCATGAAAAGGGTTCTCGGACAGCTATCAGTGATTCCTCCTCACTTACGACGTTCACTTCAAGGAATCGCCCGATTATGAAATTGGAGAAGCAAAGCAGAAGGAGCTCCTTGCAGCGGCCAGAATTCCTGGAGAAACAAGACACAGTTTAGTGTGAGTCGTAAGTGACAGAGGCAGGTTCAACACAATCTCCCTTCGTTCACACAGGGAAAGTCACAGAGCTAGCAAACCAGTCACCCTTAGCTTTTTTATTATTAATTTAAAATTAATTTATTTCTTTATTTTTGTCTGCGTTGGGTCTTCGTTGCTGTGCGTGGGCTTTCTCTAATTGTGGCGAGCAGGGGCTACCCTTCGTTGTGGTGCATGGGTTTCTCATTGCGGTGGCTTCTGTTGTTGCAGAGCATGGGCTCTAGGCGCACGGGCTTCAGTAGTTGTGGCACGAGGGCTCAGTAGTTGTGGTGCACGGGCTTAGTTGCTCCGCGGCATGTGGGATCTTCCCGGACCAGGGCTCGAACCCGTGTCTCCTGCACTGGCAGGTGGATTCTTAACCACTGTGCCACAGGTAAGCCCACCCTTAGCTTTTAATAATTCTTTTAGAGGGAAAAAATGGACGTTCTAAAATAAGCAATGCTAACGTTTTCCCAAGCTAAAATCACACACTTGAAATGGTATTGTCTGTAATTCTCACGCTTAAGAATGGAAACAATATTTCTAGTACTCCCAAGTTTAAATCAGAGCTGTGTAGCGTGACCAGAGACACCACCTCCCACTCTGCCTTCTGCCCACTTTCCACTGCTGCTCGAGTCCCGGCCCCACTGTCACGTTATGGAGGCGCCACGGGGGCTGCATCACCAACCACTGGCTCGAGGACTGCCCTTGGCTCAAAGCGCCACCCGGGCCTGAAGCAAGGCGCTGATTTAATCAGAGCCACCCTCTGACAAATTTTAAATCACCAAGTGTAGATGAGATGAGGGAGGGGAGAAGGACTGCACCAAAGCGCCCAGCTGCCAGGGGACCAGCAGGCAGAGCCGGGGGTTCTGGACACGGGGAAGGAGGCAGGAGACGGAAGGGCCCACGAGGGCTCGGGAGCCTGTGTCTGGCTGGGCTGCCCGGGTGGAGGGAGAAGGGCAGGCAGGTCTCAGGGCCGAGCTGAGGCCAGGCCTGGGGAGCAGCAGCAGGGACCTCGGGGCCCCGGCTTCCCAAGGCTGTGGGGGCTTGGCCGTGCCCGTCCTCCGTAGTCAGGAGTCAGCGGGGGTACCCTTACTCAAGCCACTTCCTTCACTAGCGCTTTTCCTTGTCATTTCGTCCCATCAAAATAGTTACCAATACTTTTTACATCCAACCTATAAGTACCATAAGCGAAACCGAACAAGACAAACGCGCAGATGCCTGCAAAGTCAACTCCCTCCATACCCTCCAGCCACGTACTTTGCATCACAGGTAACCACGATCAGGGTTTTTCCACCTGGAGGAATGAGCCCACCAGGTTCGGGCTTCTGTGACACATTCTTCTCCTTTTCTCCTTTACAGGCATAGTCATCTGGGAGATGAAATTTAAATCCAAAATTAGACCAAACGTGAACTGTTCTGACAGTGGTGGTGCTGGTGGAAGGGCCTATCACACATAGATGAGTGGCCGAAGCCCCCGACAGGTGAGCGACAGGCAAGGGGGCTGCAGGCATCCTCTTCCCAATTTAGAATCATTGCAGGAAGCAGCTCGTGTAAAGCACGAAGCAGCTCGTGTAAAGCACGCCGGGCATTTCTCCAGCTGTTTTAGCCCCAAGTATCAGAGAAGGGTCCAGACCAAAGAGCCCACAGGGTAAACGCTGCCACTAGCCTGGCCAGACCCTGGAGCAGCTGCACCAGCTCCCGGACCCGACAGGGCTCGCGCAGCTGATCCAATGGCAACAGCTGAAACGTCTACCTGGAGAGGCTTCTCTGTTGTTCACCAGACTGCTCTCCAATGTCTGATAGGTTTTGTTTTTCCTGCAGCTGTCTAATGAGTTAATATTTTCATCCGCAAAATTCTTCTCCTTCTCAGGAACGGAAACAAGAGACACTTCGGGGCACGTCTGGATTTTATCCAGCATCTGAAATCTGAACTGTTTAGCTTTATCCCAGCCACCCAACTTGCAGCTGACTAAGTTTTGAGGAGTGTCTCCTTTATTCCTGGAAAAGGAAAATTAGCCATGAACAGAGAGAGGATTTCTAAAGCTAAAATACTGTTACCATAAAACAGAATTCAATGTAACTAGTGAATGGCAATTGCAAATACTTTTATGAGTATAAGTAAAAAGGCTATTTCAGGGTGGAAAATCTAGAAAGATATACATAAAGGAAAAAATAAGCAAGCAAAATAAAATCGGTTCTACAGAAATTCTTAAACCACAGTTTGTACTTCTGTTTGAGTGGCAAACTTACTCTATCCAGATCACCACATTTTTGCTTTCTCCTTCTTTCAGCGTTCCAAAATTTGTCATCCTCGTGACTTCAATGTCACCTTTGTTTTTCAGTAAAAGGGCTCCACAGGCCTCGTCAGCAGCCTCCTGGACCACAGAGGTGCCCCTGGATAAAGCAGCCACAGGACAGTGTCGGGGTCAGCGTGGGCGGGTGGCGCGTCCTGAGGCCCCACCTGCCTTCCCTGCCCTTCCGGGCCACACCAACCACAGGGCGAGGGGATAAGGGGCCAACCCCAAAGAGGCGACCAAGTAAGGACGACACTTAGAACTTCTGAGTAAGACAGCAGATCACCCTGAAGAAGAAACTACAAGCCCTGCTGAATCCAGAGGAGAGGAGGGCCCTGGTGGGAGCTCTGGGGATCTGAGAACACGGGCAGCCTTCGCCAGCTGTGCACCCCCCCGAGCCCCGGGACTCCTCGCCCCCGCACCCCCCAGCCCTGGTCACAGAGGGAAGGGTGTTCAATGCTCCTCCCCAGACCCTCCCCGGCTGCCGCAAGGGGCTTTGCTCGTCAGTGACCCATTACTAAGCTTTCGTTGGAAAAAGAGTGTGGCTTCAAAATATTTGAAACTAATTAAATGAGAATTTTTATCTTTAGAAAATGAGCAGATTCCACCCTCCGTGAGAAGGGACCATTCGTCCCCCTCTGTCCTCCTGACGCTGCCATGAAGCTCGGGCGCTGTGCCCACCGTGCACCCTCAGCTCCTTCCTGCCCTCCCTGACCCTCCCGTAGTGCCACCTGGAAACAGGCTCCTTCACACCTGGTCCCTGTGCACACACCCACCCAGAGACACCCTCCACCACAGCAGCCACGCCCTCTCAGCCAGCCCCCCTTAACTCCCTGCTGGCCACACGGCCCTGCCCGCCCCCCGCTCCCCACCTTCCTCTCCTCATCCACACGGCCAGGGCCGCCCCGAGATCGGGCAGCCATGCCTCAGCCCCCGCCTGGGGCGGCCGTGGGAGCGGTCATCTGTCCTGGCAGACGGCCAGCCGTAGCGGCTTATGGGCAGGCAGAGACGCACCAAGACAGGAGTCAGGAGCCACCTGCGGGTTCTGGGCGGAACCCACCCGGAGCCTGGAGGGGGGATGCTGGACGCCGCTACAGGCCTGGCCCGGAGGAGTGCAGGTCCCTGCTTTGCACACGACACTTCGCTGTCCTTCAGACCCTTGAGCGGGCAGCCGGACGGTGCGTCTGAGTGCAGGGCAGCATCCTCCACTTGGGGCTAACGCCGTGGAGCCAGGACCAGGATGGGAGGAAACCACGGTCAGGATGCAGCACAGGGACCACAGCATACGGGGCATCTGCTGGGTGGACAGGACGCGGGGCCTGACTGCTTACCGGGCCAGCGACCCCTCCACCGCTCACCCCAGCCCCGCACTGACTGGGGGATGATGAGGGGCTGCACAAGAGCTGGGGTTGGCTCACAGCCAGTGTCTGAAAATGAAGGTGTGACGACTTCCCTGGCCCCGTGAAGACGGCTGCTCGAGGCAGACGCATGGAGCTCGGGGTTAAGTGCCCGACTGGTCACCCTTACGGGGACCAGCTCCCCTCACTGGAGGGGCCAGAGTCCACTGCAGCCAGGCCACCAGGGGAGGCTCACCCGAAGCTCACTGCCCACTGCCAGGGAGCCCCCCGCTCCTGCCCCCACCCACTCCATTCGGCAGACGCGGGTCCTCTGGAAACATGGTGAGTCACAGAGCAGGTTAAGGTAAGTGCTGCGAAGAATCACACAGGGCAACAGGGACCCAGACTCCCTTCCGACGAACACGCTGGCCTGCAGGCGAGACGGCAGCTGCTTCTCTCGGATGGCCAGTTTGCACCAGTCCTGGCTGCCCTCCCACGATCCGCCCCTGCCCACGGCCGTCAGGAGCCCAGTTAACTGTGCTGTGAAGACAACGATCAGGAAGCCCGCGTCCCAACAACACGGAGCTCCCTTAAAGTGGCAGGAGGTTCCGAGTGACAATACCTAATGTGGGCAGGGCCGACGGCCAGCAGGATCACAGAGCCAGCAGGGAGCCGAGGCCCCGGTTCGGCCTCCAAGATCCCGGCACAGATGCCTGGCAAACAAGCGCCTGCTTGGCCTCACATCCTCACACCCCTGGGCCCATCAGATGGACTGAAGCCAGAACTCCCGGGCCTCCTGGGCCTTCCCGGTGGAGGGGGCAAGGGTATGCATCTCCCGCACTTCGCTGTTATGAGAACGGGCAGAGTCATTCTCCAAAAGGAGAGCAGGTCCCATGGGGCAGGAGGCTGTGTCCACCAGACAGCCTGGTCACGGCAGGGCCCACCTCACCACGTTCCCCTTCTGCCCACACCCCGGTCCCAGCACATCCCTCCCAGCTGCGCCAGGCAGCTCAGTCCTCCTGAGATGGGGCTCCCCTGCCTGCCCGTCCTGTGGCTCATGAGACACTCCCCCCTGCAAGCAATCTGCTCCGCTGAGGAGATCAGACAATAAACAGAAGGACTTCAGAAACCATGTAACGAGCTCCCTGAGACGAGCACTACGGAGAGAGAGCAGCAGAGACGGGGCGGGAGCTCAGGAAGGCCTGCCGTGCTGCATAAACACGCGTGTTGGAGGCAGGAAGTCACGGGCGCACAGAAGGAAGAACCAGATACAGGAAATTCAGTAATTTTAAGAATCAACCAGGACTTCCCTGGTGGTCCAGTGAGTAAGACTCCACGTTCCCAATGCAGAGGGTCCGGGTTCGATCCCTGGTTGGGGAACTAGGTACTGCATGCGTGACACAACTGGCATAGCCAAAATAAAACAAAGAACTGACCACGTCCAACGTGTTCTACAAAATGCCAACATGTGAAAGAACACAACACACAAAGCCCACGAAAATATGGAGATCATCACCATGAGCTATCAAGAGGCGGCCTCTCACTCAGCCTTCAGGCAGCTGTGAGGACCCCCAGCCCCCAGGAGGGCTCTCCCTCCAGCCCGCCAGCTCAGGGCCTGGACGGTCTGCTACCTGCCTTGTTCAACCGGCTCTCAGATGCACCCCAGGCCCCCGCCCCTCGAGCCGCCGCCTCCTCACCGCCTCTGCACTGGGGTCACGCACAGGGCCCTCCACGTGTAGCACGACTGGCTGCTCTCCACCACCACCGCGCTGACCACGTCATGCCTCTGTGGCACGTAGCCTTCCGGGAGCTTCAGGGAGTCCAGAGTGAAAAAGATGTAGTCGTTGATCACCCCGTTCCTCCCACAGAGGCTGGACACGCAGACCTGCAAGCACAGCACCAGACGCTGGCAGTGTGCACGGGGCTGCCGCAGCCAGTGAGGCTCAGGCCTGGTCTCGGAGGAGGAGCAATGCCCCCAGCGGGACCGGCCAGGCAGGGAGCGGGGCCCAGAGCACACCTCCACCCGCAACCTCAATTCTCTCCTCTGTTCCAGTCCCCACTCCCCAGACCACAGCCGTTGCTACGAGCGAGGGCAGAGCCCACACCCCACTCCACGCATCCCCACCATCAGACGCTTTAACACTCCTCGTCCCTTCGTGACCTAGAATTTAACTATGTGAGTGTGCAGGCTGGCCGCCGGTGACCTCGGTAAGACATCAGGGTCTTCTCTGCCCGAGACGGACCCTCATTTATCCTGACCTCCCATCGCACTCAGGACCCCGGGCCGCTCGAGGCTCAGCACCTACCCGGTCCACGCGCTTGTACCTCAGTGGCTTCACCGAGATGGCCTCACTGCTCCACGTGCCCGGCCGGATCCAGTACTCGGCCTCCACCCAGTCCCCCTTGCAAGGCTTGAAACCTCCAAGGCAGGGAAACCGGGCATGTTACTTGGTAATGCAACATCAAAGTGTACAATTCACTCTGCAGTTATGTTTCTGTTCTGAGACACACATGACTGGTTGAGAAAGGTGCTCTCTGTTCCTGTTAGGAACCAGCGTATCCACCTGGATTCTCTTCCAGGTTTACCCACGCCAACGGAGCAGAGGCTGTTACAGGCCAACCTGTCTTCCTGCCTACAAGGCAAGAGCAGGGGACCTGGTCTGCACAATGTCAGGGCCCCATCTGATTTCAGATACTCCCCAAAGTTCAAACAAAGAAAAACGTAACAAAGTGTCATCAACAACTGCAACCAAGTGGGCAGAATGGCAGCCCTCTACCCACAGCCCTGGCTCCAGGAGGTATGGGTACGTGTGGCACTCCTGTGCCAGCTCCTTGCAGACACTGTGAGTACCCTCCCCATCAGGGACACCCAGGGTGCACGGTGACACAGGGAGATGTGCTCAGACCTGAGGCCTGGGTGGCTACGGGTATCCCAGCTCAGGAGAGGGAGCCCCTCGGTGTGCCAGAGAGCTGGTAGGGTGGCCGGGAAAGCGGGGAAACGGCAGGGGCAGTGACGTGAGGTGGCAGCCAAGCCGTCCTGACGCGAAGCGGGGAGAGAGTGGTCTGGACAGGTTGGGCGTGGCACGCGGTGTAGCCACAACCGGTGATAACCTTTTGGTTGTTTTGTAATAAACATTTTTGCAGCAGTTAAGCTCAAAAAACAACAGTGCCTAATGAAATATAGAGTTTGTTTCTCAAGAAAGCTGGTGACGAGCACACAGCAGCCCAACCATCTGCGGACACTGCTACTCAGCAGCGGGGCCGTGCTGCACCACGTGCAGCGGCACAAAGCCACTGGAGGCAAAGCTCCTGGAGCACCAGCTTCCAGGTCGGTGGGTGTTTTAGGCAGACTGACAGAGGCACAAAGGCAGCCCAGCTACAGAGCACCCACAGCAAAGCCACTGCTCAAACAGACAGACCAGAAGGGAAAGGGCAAGGTTGGCTGGTCCATACAGGGCAGGCCTGGGGGCAGAGCAGGGGGGCATCTGGGGTAAAGAGCTCCAGCCTCAGGGTGGGGTGGGGTGGGGTGGGATGTCAGAGGCCTGGGATGAGATCCAGATAGGAGGAACCAGATGTTGGGCAGAGGCTTTAAGGGCAACACTCTGAGGACCTGGCAGATGAAAACCGGTCCCTGGTCCATCTCAAATCTCATTATGAACATTAAAAAAAAAAAACCCACAAAACCTAATTTTAAACATGAAGCAGAAACACATCCCGTGTACCTTCACACACACTCTCCAGGGAGAAGTACGTGGTCTGGTTGATGTAGCCGGCGCCGTCCATCAGCGAGGTCACGCAGCCGACCAGCACTCGGGGGCTGGAGTCGGACAGCCCTCTGCCGTGCCTCTTGCTGTTGTCTTCCCATTTATCTGAGACGGCTTCCACCTGCAAGACAGGCAAACTGCTACTTAAGACATACTGAGGACTCCAAGGAAAGCAAACCTCTGGCCAAGACCCCCTTATGAACAGAGGCAAAAATCTTCAATGAAATACTGGCAAACTGAATGCAGCTGCATAAGAAATGCGTTGCACACCACGATGGAGGGGGGTTTACCCCAGAATGCAGACGTGGTTCCACAAATGAAAATCAGTCAGTACCATCCAGCACACTGGCAGAACAAAGGAAAAAATATACGATCATCTCAGCTGATACAGAAAAAGCATCTGACATAACTCAACACCTTTACACGATAAAAACTCAATCCAATAGGAAGAGACTGGAACTTCCTCAATAGGATAAAGGCCACGTGTGAGAAACCCACAGCTCACATGACACTCGGTGGTGAGAGACTGAAAGCTTTCCCCCGAGGATAAGGAACAAGGCAAGGATGCCTGTTTTCACCACTTCTGTTCAACATAATACTGGAAGTCCCAGCCAGAGCAATTAGGCAAGAAGAAGAAATTTTAATATCCAAATTGGAAAGGAAGAAGTAAATTATCTACTTATAGATGACATGATCTTACACACAGAAAACGCTAAAAAATCTACAAAACACCTCTTAGAGCTAATAAATGAATTCAGCAAAGTTCCAGCGTATGAAATCAATATACAAAAATCAGTCGTATTTCTATACACTTGCGATGAACAATTTAAAAAAGGCAACTGAGAAAACAATTCCATTTACGATAGCATCAAAAAGAATAAAACACTTAGGAATAAATTTAACCAAGGAGGTGGAAGACCTGTACACTGAAAACTATAAAGTGTGGCTGCAAGCAGTCAGAGAAAACACAAATAAATGGAAACACATCTCACGTTCACGGATTAACATTAAGACATCGATACTACCCAAAGCGATCTATGGATTCAATGCAATCTCTATCAAAATCCCAATGATGTTTTTTGCAGAAATAGAAAAACCCATCCCAGAATGCATATGGAATCTCGAGTAATGCTGAATAGCCAAAACAATCTTGAAAAGGAAGAGCAAAGTTGGAGGACTCACACTTTTTGATTTCAAAACTTACTACAAGGGCTTCCCTGGTGGTGCAGTGGTTAAGAATCCGCCTGCCAATGCAGGGGACATGGGTTCAAGCCCTGGTCTGGAAGATCCCATATGCCGCAGAGCAACTCAGCCCATGCGCCACAGCGACTGAGCCAGCGCTCTAGAGCCTGCGAGCCACAACTACTGAGCCCATGTGCCACAACTACCGAAGCCCACACACCTAGAGCCCGTGCTCCACAGCGAGAAGCCACCACAATGAGAAGCGCATGCACCGCAACAAAGAGTAGCCCCCGCTCGCCGCAACCAGAGAAAAGCCCGCGCGCAGCAACAAAAACTGAATGCAGCCAAAAAAAAAAAAAAGTAAAAAACCAAACAAAAAACCCCAAAAAAACTTACTACAAAGCTACAGTAATTAAAAGAGTGTAAGGACAGACAAAATACCAATGAAATAAAGAGCCCAGAAATAAACCCTCACATATCTGGTCCAAGGTGCCAACAAAGGTGCCAGGACCCTTCAAGAGGGAAAAGGTCTTCTCAAAAAACGGTGGTGGGAGAACTGGCTGTCAGCGTGCAAAAGAATGAAGTCAAACCCTCATCCAATACCATATTCAAAAATTAATTCAAAAATGGGTCAGACTTAAATTTAAGAACTAAAACTATAAAACCCTTAGAAGAAATCACAGGAGAAAATCTTCATGATCTTGGATTAGTTAATGATTTTTTTAAGTGTGACATCAAAGGCATAGGCTATTAAAAAAGGATAAATTGTACTCCATCAAAATTTAAAACTTTGGTGCATCAAAGGATATTATTGATATTAAGAAAAAGTTAAAAAATTCACAGAATGGGAGGAAATATCTGTAAACCACATATCTGATAAGGGATTAATATCCAGAATATATAAAAAACTTCTACAACTTAACAAGAAAATAAACAACCTGATTAAAATATAAGCAAAAGAACTGAAAAGACATTTCTCTAAAGAAGATATATAAATGACCAATAAGCACATGAGAAGATGCTCAACATCACTAATTATTAGGGAAATATAAATCAAAACCACAATAAAACACCCCTTCACACCCACTAGAGCGGCTACTATCAAAAAATGGGAAGACAATTCAAGTTGGTGGAGATGTGGAGAAACTGGAGCCCCTGTGCTGCTGGTGGGCATGTAAAATGGTGCCGCCACTGGGGAAACTTTGGCGTACCCTCCAAAAGTTAAACACGGGATTACCATATGAGCATGCAATTCTACTCCAAGGTACAGACCCAAAAGAATTGAAAACTGGGACTCAGAAAGGTGCTTTTCACAGCAGCACTACCCACAACAGCCAGAAAGTAGAAACAATGCAAGTGCCCATAAACAGGTGAGTGGAGAAACAAAATGTAATCTATGCATACAATGGAATATTATTTAGCCGTAGTAAGGAATGAAGTTCTGATACATGTTACATGGATATGCCTTGAAAATATTATGCTAAGTCTAATACGGCAGACACAAAAGGACTAATATCATACGATTCCACTTACATGAGGTACCCAGGATAGTCACATTTATAGAGACAGAAAGTAGAATAGTGGATTATTGTTTAATGGGTATAGAGTTTATATTTGGGATGATGAAAAGTTATGAAAACAGACAGTGGGTATAAGCGCACAACAACATGAATGTACTTAGTGCCACTGAATGGCATTAAAAATTTAAATTAAAATTAATTTTATGTTATGCATATTTTACCACAGTAAAAAAACCTGAATAAAAAATGAGCAAACAAATCCAGAGGGTAGAGCGAATGAGCCAATTCCACAACTTTCACGAAGGAAGTCAGTTAACACTGTTAAACGCTGGTAAATCAAGTGACTCAAGCATCTTCCAGAAGAGCTAAAAACCAACAAGGCAAGTACTTGGCCTGCGGAGTCCAAGTGCAGGTGGAGAGCAAGGAGGAAGCGCCTGTTCCTCGCTGGCGGCATGTTCCCGGCCACAGCGGCCCTGCAGGCCCTCCAGCCACCCCACAGACGTCTACATTCGCGCCGTCCAATTTGGTGCCACCAGCTACGTTCAGTGCTTGAAATGTGGCTCGTGAAACTGAGGAATTAATTCTAAATTTTATTTAATTTTAATAAATTTAAATTTAAATAGCCACACATGGCTGGTAGGTGGCATTTACTAAAATGTAATGGTAACAAAGTATGTCTTGACCATTTTAAAAAGTAGTGGAGCTCAGTAAATTTGCAAGATACCAAATTACGTAACAAAAAAAATCAACAGATTTCCTAGAGGGAAAGAAAAAGATTAATTTGAAAATACAAATAAAAATCATATTGATAATGGAACAAAAACATTACAATTCTCAAAAATAAACTTCACAAGGCATCTGAAGAACTGAAGTGTACAAAAGAACACAAAGGAAGGCTTAGATAAGTGGACAGACATAATTTGTAGCTGGAGAAGACCTGCTATGATCCACACGTCGCTTGACCTAAATGGATCCACACACTCAGTGCTGGTCTGGGTGAGTCTGAGCCCAGGAGGAGAAATGGTAGGATTACTCTAACGTTTATCCACATCGAGGGGAGAGCCCAGAGAAGTCCATCCACAAAGAGGAGGAAGAGAGAAAACAGCCTGCCACCTGAGGACACAACCGTGCCACGTGGGCCACGTGCAGGCATCAGAACCGACAGGGAACCGACAGGGTCCGGACGGGGTCCCAGGCAGATGGGATTCTGGTGTGTGAGAAAGGGACCTTCCCACTCAGTAGGAAACAGGGGACCACTCAGCGGATGACTGGTGCGCTACCGGGGAAGAAACGTCTGGCTCCTTCTTTCAGTCTGTACATCCAGTAAGTTCCAGGTAAATTAAACATTTAAATGTCCATAAATTTTCACAGGAAAACCTGAGTGCATGTCGAATGAAAAGTGGGAAAAGCCTCTCTAAGGATTCGTACAGAGCCCGAGAGCCACATGGAAAAGACAGACACGTTAACTACATAAAATGAGACTTTATAAAACAAAGTCAAAAGATGATCTTGGGGGGAAACATTTGCAACATTTTCATATAATAATTTTGCTTAAAAAAGTCTAATTCCCAAAATGTAGAAAGTTTAATTTTAAAAAGTTGAACCCAACAAAAAAATGATAAAAGGACACTAAAATAACTCATAGAAAAAAATGTGAAAATTTAATCTACTTTAAGGCTTAAGTGCAAATTAAAATTATAAGATCCCTTTTCAAAGTGATTGGTGCAGATTTCCAAGATCAATAACGTCCACAACCTTTTGCCAACGTGGGTAACAAGTGTCTCATCCTGCCCCTGAGTATGATTAGTGCAGCGTTACTGAAGGATAATTTGATGATAACCATTAACACGTTAAATGTGCACATACTCTCTGACTAACAATTATACTTCCAGGAAATCAGAGTACAAAAACACAATTTTTTTTAAAGAAACACTTGCTGAATAGTAGGGTTCATTAATTATCTTGGTTAACTGGATAACAAAGGATCCAAATAGTTACTTTTAACAATACTTTTTTAAAAGACTAGAAGAGTGGATACAGAAGTGGTAACAGTGTTTCTCTCCATGGCATAAAGCTACAGGTTGTCTCTGACAGGTAACTGAACAGGAGGACAGCGGCGTGAAGCCCAAGGTGTAGAGAGGCTTCCTCATGAACTCAGGCCTTACCCGGATTGCTTTCAGTCCATTCGACACCTTATTTTCTTCCACGACCGCAATAACTTCCTGTCCAACATTTAGAAGCACTTTGCTCGTCAAAGCCTCATTGGAGAAGTAGATCAAATCATCAATCATGCCATAATCGCCGCAGTACCTTGTCACGACACCCTGGACAGTTTTCAACTTGGTGTCACCTAAGACGGGTAAACAGAGAGGTTATATTGACCACAAATCAAGTGCACACTACAGTTAAGCCCCCCAGAGCGTCCGTGGGGCTAGGAGCCCTGTGGGCTGAGAACCTCCCTGGGGACTGGGGTGCTCAGAAAGCAGGGTTTTAGAGGCAGACTACCCAGGTTCCTCCCAGGGGCACAGGCGGTGGGCTCGATGGGGAGAGCCCATCTGCATCTGACGGCCAGCTCTTCCCCAGCCATCTGTGGAGCCCTGGGCTAGGGCTTTACCACCCCGTGCCTGTCCTCACTTGTAAAACGGGGACAGTCATGGTCTCTGTCCGAGAGAGCTGTGTGAGGGTTATTACGTGACAGACGCGTGCAATGCGTAGACCTCTGAGTGGCTGGCACAGGCTGGGGGCATCGTAAACTGCTGTTAGCATTATAGCAGCATCAGGGGAGTGGCTACTGCGCATCCTCATCACCGCTGTTATCAATACCACCAGCAGCACGGTCAGGCGATTCTGTGTTATTTCACCAAAGCAGGCGCTGGAAGACGTTCTGGGCCTGGGGGTCAAGTCTGGCGTAGAACAGGGCCTGCCCTCATCCACTCAAGAGACCCCGGCCAGAACCCGTGCTCCGAGTCCGCACAGCACCTCGTCTGCTCCTTGTCAGACACAGAAGACACCCAAGTGCCCAGGGCACGGCCCAGCCACGGAAGCCCGCGGAAGCCTGGCTGGAACTCCGACTGCTGTTCAAGGGCCACATTTAACAGACAAGATCCGCGGACGGACGAAGCGACTTACTCCAGGCGGCAAAGAGGCATTAACAACTCTGGGCAGAGATGGCTGTTAGCGTGCTGCCCTAACAAGTAACTCCACGGCTGACGTTCTGGCTTCTCTTGCGGAGAATTTCATCTTTTTAGAGGTTAGAGAAGGCAACTAGAGAATCACTACCCGGCGTTCAAGTCTCAGATGCAAAGAGGAATTGGGAGGAAATGCGAAAAGCCTTGGGGAAAAGCAACCGTGTAATTCGGGGTGCAGGGAGGGACGCTGTGGCAGAAACAGAAGTACGTACAGCTTGTACTTCAGGAAGATGGGTTCGAAAACAATTTCAAGTAAACAGGAGGAGGATACCACGAGACTCTAAAATGACAGTTTAAGACAGCCAGATTACACTCTTCAGAGCTGTCGAAGCACACAACCGCAAGGGACACTGACACAGAGAGAACGGGAAGCCGTGCAGGGACGACGTGTCAAGGCGCTCCCGGCGCATGAAAACACAAAGCGGAAACAAGGAGGCACAGACCCCAAAAGCCGTAAAATGCTATTACGTACTGAGAAGACCTATTTAAGTTACACTGCAAAGAAGAGATCATCACGGGACAGACACCCCTCAGCTTCGAGTTAGAAAACAAGCAAAAGCTCTCAAATCCCGATCTCGTCACACTAACGCCCTGGGACCCGGCTCGGACCACGCTCCTCCCCCACTCCCGCCCCACCAGGCGCAGGAACCAGGCTTTGAGGGCCTCAGCGGCTCTCACTACGTCACCAGCCGCCCCACCCCCACCCCCGCGCCCGTCCACAGTCCCGGTCCACCGTCTGGCTGGGCGGCCTCAGGGGGCCGCGCGTACCAGCCCTTCCCGCGAGGCACCTTCTGCGAGCTTGGGCCCCGGCGGCCCGGCCTCCTCCTCGGGTTCTTCCGCCCTCCTCCAGAAGAAGGCCACCAGCTTGCCCGCGAGGTGGAGCATGGCCCGGCCGTTCGTCTCCGCCGCCCTAGGCGCCCGCACGCGGCACGCCGCTCCCGCTGCCCTCAGCCAATGGGGTTGCTGCGGCCGAGCCTGCGCCTGCGCGCCCTCGAGCTTGGCCAATAGGGTTGTGGCGCCCGCGCCTGCGCCCACGCCTGGTCGAGCTCGGCCAATGGGGGTGTTGCACGCGCCAAGCCTGTTAGCTGCGGGTGGTTGGCGGTTGCTGACCGTTAGTGCGCGGCGTGGGAGTGACGTCATGCCTGGAGCTCAAGGCGTGTGCTGGTGGGCAGGGCTTCGCGCAGATGGGCGGGGCTTCGCCTAGGTGGGCCTCCTTCCGTCCATCGGAGGAGCGGGGAAGGCAGAGCATCTCACAACTCTGTGCTGTTAGGTGTAGCTTTGGCAGATATGCTTTATCAAGTTGAGGAAGTTCCCTCTGTTCCTATTTTTCTGAGAGTTCTTATCGCGCTTGGGTGTGGAATTTTATCAAATGCTTTTTTCTGTATCTGTTGAAGTGATCATGTCGTTTTAGGGTGTTAATGAGAGTGACTCATACTGATTGATTTTTCAAATGTTAAGCCACCCGTGCTTTTCTGGGAACACTCAACTTGGTCATTGTTTATTATCCTTTTTGTGTATTGATTCAACTTGGTAATGTGTGGTCAAGGGTGGCATCTTTGCTCCTGAGTGATGAAGAAATTTTCACATATTGAGGTGTGGGGAAGTCCTTCTGGCTTATACCTGATTTCGCTTGAACTCTACGCTAACTAGAACAGCCTGCCTTGTGGCCTATCAGACATACATTGTACATCTGCTTTAACAAATTCAATACATTCAATAGTTAAAGGGCTATTTAAGTTACCAGTATTGAGCAATATTGCATAAACTTTGGTAATTTCATCTTTTATGGGATTTGTCCATTTCATCCAAGGTGTCAAATTATTAGCATAAATTGTTCACAGTATTTCCTTACCATCCTTTTTATGTCCGTGTGATCCACTGTGATGAACCATCTTTCATGCCTGATGTTGGAAATTTATGTCTACCCTCTTGTCTTCATCAGTCTAGCTACAGGTTTATCAGTTTTATTTGTCTTTTCAGAAAACACCTCTTGGTTTCATTGATTTTTCTCTATTCGTTATTTCCTGTTTTTGTCTTCTTCGTCCTCCCCCACCCCTGCCCCCCTCTACTGCCTCTCTCTTCCTCCTCCACCTCCTTCTTCTTCTACTTTGATTTGTAGTTTTCTAACTTTTTAAGGTGAAAAATTAGATAATGAATTTTGGAACTTTCTTCATTTTTGATATGTGTTTAAAAGTACACATTTCTGTAAGCTCCGACTCAGCTGCATTGTACAAAATTTGACGTGTTGTATTTTCATTTTCCTTCAGTTTCTAATTTCCTTTGTGATTTCTTCTTTGACCCATGGGGTTATTTTAGCGGTATATTGTTTAGTTTCTAAATATTTGAGGATTTTCCAGATATTTTTCTGTTAATAATTTCGAATTTAATGTTGTCATGGTCAGACAATGAAACTTGGATGAATTAATTAAAAAAAATGTATCGAGGCTTTCCTCCTTGTCTCCTTCCACAAATGTTCCATGTGCTGTTGGAAACCATGGTATTGTTGGCTGGGGTCCAATTTAGCTTTGATGGGCATGTTTTTGTTCTCCTGGGTCAGATCCCTCAGTCTGATCGACAGCCTGGGCCTCGCCCCTCCGTAGATGCACAGTGTAATTACAACCCCTTCCTGAGAGGTGGGGAGATACTTGTTCCTTAAATGATACGAAACACTGCTAAGTCCCTGTCTTGGGCTCATTGCTGGGAATACACAAGGAAGTGGGAAAGGCCCTGGGGAGTTACTGGATAAGTGGGGAGAGACGTCCCAGAACAAGAGCATGCTGCAACACGGGGGCTGGGAGCTGGGCCGGGCTTCCTGCAGGGTGCCAGAGCCAGGGTGACGTGCGTGGGAGCTTCCACGTCACAGGGTTGCCCCTCCCATCCAACAGCCCAAACCTCCCCTGGATTCTGGACTCTTCCACTCCACCTCATCAGCAGATCCACTTGACATCCAACAGACACCTCAGCCTCATCATCAAGACGAAACTCCTGACCTCTGTCTTCTGCATCCCAGGTGAGGCAGCTCCAGCTGCACCGCTCAGGCCGAGAACCTTCCCGTCTCCCAAGCTCCTGCCCTCCTCGCCCCACGTCGCTGGGACGGCAGATCAGGTTGGCTTGTGAAAGTCTATTGAGAATCCTGTCACTTCTCACCACCCCCACCGCTCTACCTCCATCCCTGCCAGGACCTGCTCTCACCTGCTGCCCTGCAGCCTGTGCTCCTCCCAGCTGGACTCTTCCGCCCAGAGCTTCCGAGCAAGTCCATCTCAGAGTCAAAGCCAAGCCTGTCTCCATGTCCACAGGTGCCTTGTCCCTGGAGGCCTCACCTGCACCTTACCTCATGTGATCCTCGTGCCCACCATCCTCCAGCCTTGCCACCTCAGGGCCTTTGCACCTGCAGCAACTCTGCTCCCTGCCTGCCTCACCTCCTTCCCAGTGAGGCCTGCCTTGTCTCCCCAGGTAGCACCTTCATCCCCTCCCTGGACTTATTTGCTGTCACAGAGAGAGTCAAGTACGTCACCATAGAACACACCCATTTATTCTTCTTGTGTGCGCCTGTCCCCCCATTAGATTGCGGACTCCACGTGAGAAGGACCGTGGCCTGCCCTGTTCACGTTGCAGATGTTTGCTGAACGGCGAGGTGAATGTTGAAGCATGAGTGGGACCTCGGCAGTGGAAGACAGAGGAAGCGCTGTTGAGGAACCATAGTTTGTGTGAGGGATCGGGGCTTGTTCTAGAAACTAGTGTTGCCGCCAGAAACGAGGAAGTTCTTCCCAGGACGCTTTGGGCGGGGTTTGTCCTACGATCTCTAATTCAAGGCAGCTTGTTTGATTTCTTAGAGAACAACTTTGGAAAGGCACAGAAATGGTGAAACCTGCTTAATGCTTTTCTTTAAACAGAGAAGTGAAGAGTTCCATTGGTTGGACATTTCCTGCTAGTTCCACTTACTGCTTTAAAAGACAGTTAATAAGGAGGTTTGGGAGGTTTTTCAATCTATTTAAAATCCCTTCTTGACTTCACAGTTTGTGAAAATTAATTCTAATCCTTCTTGATTGGTTGATAAACGAAGACAACAGAGCATCCCATGATGGGAAACTGAAGCCTTTGCTCAAGCCTGATGTGGGCTTGTGGTCTGAGGAGGCAGTTTTGCAGAATGCTTTGGTTTGAGCCATTTAAGCGCTCCTGTGAGCACAAAGACTGGTGCTGTAATTGTGGGGCGCCAGTGTCTCTGGGCAAAGTGCCCTCCCGTCCTTTCCCTCTGCTTGGTGAGCAGAAAGAAAGGGCACAGCGGGACCCGGCACTGCCCACAGGAACCCGCGGGTCAGAATCCCAAGCAGTTCAAGGGCCAGGTCAGCCACGTTGAGCGCAAATGTGTGTGAGACCTTGTGTTCCTTGTGTGATCACAGGGGATGGAAAAGGGCTGCCGGAAAGGATGGAGAATAAGGCTTTGGATAAAAATGTTTGTTTCCAAAACAGGTACCCGGCCCTCCGGCCCGCCAGGATCCTGTGCTTGGTGCAGTTCTGCACTCAGGTACACCTCTTCTTCCGAGATGCCCACCCCAGCGCCTGCAACCTGTCTGCCTGCAAGGGACCTGACGAGGCCCCTCTGCTCCTGGCGGGGTTGGCGCAGGACGGAGCGGAACTCTGGGCCAGCAGTTATACAACCACCAAGAACTTTCCAGGATCCCTCGCTTCATGACCTCATTGAAATTCAGGAAGCGGTCCTCCTTGCCTGGCTTAAGTGCAGTTCTGCCAGGCTTTTGTCCTGTCTGTGAATAGTTCTTGCTGGACGCCCAAGGCAGGGTGACTCGGTAACAGGAGCCCCTCACCCAGAGACCGGCGCTCCCACACCAGAACTGCCGCAGAGGTAAGTGTGCAGACGGGAAACCCTCGTGTGGAGCACATCTGTGATCTCTTGTCCAGTTTGGAGTTTGGAGTAGCCAGCACATCATGAGACTCATAAGTGGAGCTGCCAGTGGAAGTGAAATTGAGGGGGCGGTGGGAGGGCGAAGCGCTTAAAGCCTGAAGTCCTGCTGTGAATCTAGACTGTTCAGGTTCGTTTTCCTGGGAAAGTGATTTTATGCACTTGTGGAATTAACTGCTTATTTTCTTCTTACAGTACTTCTATACAAATGATATCTCTTTTACTGAAAACGACTTAAAAATAAGTATTATTGAAAATCACTTCTTTGGGAGTTTTTTCAGAGTGATCAGAAGTGAAATTTGTAATCTTATCACAAATAAATGAGTGGTGGCGTGGTGAGTGCAGCGCTGCGGCCGCTAATGTCAGCCTTTGCCCCCCGGCAGCGCCATGGCCCGGGAGGAGCTGGGCTACGACCGGATGCCCCCACTGGAGCGCGGGCGGCCGGATGCGGGGAGCTACGCCCCGGACACCAAGCCCAGTGACCTTCAGCTGTCTTCCAGGCTGCCCCCGTGCTTCAGCCACAAGACGTGGGTCTTCTCCGTGCTGATGGGGGTGAGCAGCTCCGCGCCAGGCCCACGGAGACACCGTCCCCTCCGGGGTCCGCTGCCTGGGTGCTGTTCCCAGATGGCCCGGGGAGGAGCAGCCCCGGGCTACTTCTGCCTCTGAGAGACTCACGGGTGCCGATGTGCTTGTTCGCTCTGCTCTTTGAGTTATTTTCCTCAGCTGGTGAGGCTCTGTCCTGCTGGCCCTGCTGGCCTCTGGGCCGTGGCGGCTCTGTGTCCTGGCAGGGGTCGGACAGCCCAGGGCCCACGCTGAGCCTGCCGGCTCATGTGTTGTACCAGGGCGGCCTCCACGACCCTCACCTCCTGGGGGTCTGCAGTGGTGGGGAGGAGGGGCCACGCTCGCAGGACGGGCCTCTGGGGGGTGGACAGCAGGATGGCGTCCTGAGGCAGGAGCCCAGGGCCATGGGACCAGGGAAGGCTGAGGGGCCAGGGGCCAGGGCCAGCAGGGAGGAGGGGGCAGGCCTGAGGGGACCTTGCCTGGGGTCCCGGGACGTCTCCCTTCCGATATGCCTGGATAAGCACTTGGATGACAGAAGAAGCCCTTTTGGCCCAAGCGGGCGCGGTCACCTGGGCTGGCCACTGGACGCACCTCTCTGTGGGCAGGAGCTCGGGGGTCAGCGTGCCAGGGGCCGAGGTCCAGGATCCGGGCTGGGGTCTTG